ACAGCGTTAAAGAGCGTAACTGACCCTCAGGAAAAGGTCACTTGATTTCAGTAACTTCTGAAGTGATACATCGATGCCATCAACGTAGAACCTATCGTAGGAGTGTATTGGTTCAAGTTACTACACTTCACAGTAGCTTACAAGAAACAAATGCATCGAAAAAGATTAATATCACAGTAAACAAAGGTGTTTGGTAGGAGGAACAATTTAAAAATCAAGGTTAATGAGAATGTTACAGAATTAGATGTCAAAAGGTGAACTCATCTATGCCATTGTGACCGATTTTTAATCATAGCCACAAGTCTCCAACTATTGATTCCTATTATTGTGATAACGTTAACCAGGCGGTTTACACCTCCCTACACAGCTCAGACTAGTGGTCAGAGACTACATGGACTGGTGTGCCACGTCTTGGTCTGGCCACCCTCAACCCTCTTCCAATCTAATCTTACTTCGGCTAACATTTCACACCGAGATAGGCGAGAACCTTGACGTGTGTAGCATATGCTGAGCCAACTGAATTGGTGAGAGAGTACAACCTCATCGACCAACTTGGCTATTACCGTTCACCTAACCTGTACAGTGCTCATACGCAAATTCCGCATACACCAGGGGTGCTACGAAGACATTCGCATTTGAAAACCAGTCGTCTCATCATATCTTCCACCCTCAACAACTACCCCTGACAGCCGTGTAATAGGAAATAAGGAAATGCAGCACAGTATACGCTTGCATTAAAAAGTGGTTGTATATCTCGCTGGTCAGCGCGATAGATGACACAAATTGGAAAACTCAAGACAGGCATTCTGTACCCGGGGTGAGATTTCGCCAGTGACCAGCCCGTTCGAGCTGGTGTAAATCTCCAAGAAAGTGAACCAGTACACGCATTCAACCACTTCACTATCTATAAACCAGTTTCATGGTTGGAGACTCTAGGTGATAGCTGTCGGTGTCGGTGGAGCAGATGCATCAAAACTTTATCTTCATTATAAACGTCATACAGAATTTAGTATTCTCTTATTACTTCCTTCCCTCTTTTACCAATTTCTACTGCTTCTAACCGATGTTTCTTTCTTTTTTCCTCTCTTAACATTGTTGCTAGTTGTGCTGAAATACGGTGTGTAGATTTGAACCATTACGCAGAAATATCTCGTCCTAAGTTGACAATGAGTCCTAAAGAATGATTTAGATTTCATAAGTGGGAAACGCACGCCAAACATACTGAAATAACTCCCCCCAATGTGTTCAGAAGACTCTGGATTTTGTCAGCGTCCTCATCTATCACAACTACGCCGTCTGCAGACGCCAAGTGAACCAGGTGACCTCCAGGGATTACATAAATCCCTGTAAAGTCAAAAATGCCCAATGTTATGTCTATTATTACACCTATAACAAACATAAGGAAACAGCAAGAAAGCCCGGAGAACACTATAAATTCAATTCATAAGAAAACTTTCCATATGCCACAACAAAGATGTGAAAGCTCTAGTGGAGAGAGCTTTGATTAGCTTTACATAATTGCTCCGTAGCCCTTTCACAGTCAAACACTGCCACAACACATCATGGTCTCCAGGATCAAATGCCACATTCAGGTCAAGAAATATGGGAAGACTCGACTGCCTGTAGGTGTATGCCTGTATTATAGAACCTGTTGGAGGTCTAAAACATACCTGGTTCTCTTCATTTGCTGTTATCCAGCTCCACTTAGGTATCGGTGTTCGATAACTAACTATGTACTCATGGATCTTCGACGTGATATCATATCGGTCAAACGTCTCCTCACGGCTGTCACAAAAAGACTTCTCACACTTCTTGTTCACTTGAATCATCAGTGAAGTAGATCAGTCTGACATTACTACCTTCTCAAATTTGTGCCGATATTATCGGGGGCGAAAACAATGCCTTCACGATTGAACCATTCACCTCAGACGACACAACACTATAAAAAGTAATCTCTCTAATTGATTCCCATACACCACTTGGTATCTCTATTACTCCAATCAGTAATTTCCTGCCTCCCTCCTGAATACGGTGGGTGGCAACCCATCAAATCCTGTTGCTTTGCATCATTTCAGCTTTAAAAACACAGCCTCTTCAACATTGAGGAGCTGGAGGACCGACATTTACTTCCTATTCTAGTTCGAACTGGATGTCGGGTGTGAATGTAGCGTTTCCGTGTGTCACTTGAACTTCACATCAGTGCCCCGCTCTGCCCAACATTCTAGCCGTCTATCCTGAAACGTTATCAGGGTACTATCCTTTTCGATGATCGTCTCACATACCATCGTCTTCTTCTAGCCAGGATGAAGAGGCTTCACGTGCTTAGTCACCGTTTCCCTCATAACATAGGTCATTTTTCTTTGTGTCACCACACCAGTTACGCTGAAGCTACGTATAAAGTTGTAGGGAGGAGACGAAAGTTAGTTGATGAGGTTGTGAACCTTCATTGGCTCAGACGGTTGCAACTTGTTTTACGAATGCCTAGACACCATCTGCGTCGTTACACAATGCTAGCTGAAAATGGTTCAGGCTGAAAAGCAGTTAGAAGTGGACAGACTAAAAGATGGTATCACTGCATGAAATCTCCGACTATCGGTGCGAGCCATGTGGGGGAAATGTGGACTTCCCAGTTGGTGTCGGTGTGATAATAGAAGCCAGTGGTTCGAGAATCTAAGGACGCGCCTGAGAATCGATGTCAGTGAAGCACATGTATACACATCACTATCTTCACCTGAAATGTCATATTGAATGCAATATTTTCTTATTCCTCCTTGTTATCACTACTTTCTACCACTTCGATTACATTCTTCCCTATTTCTTTATCTTTCATCTTAGTGCTTTCTCTCTTCATATGCTAATATACCATGACAGGTTAACTCCACTATGCAGTATTCCCGGGTCCTATGCTGACCTTGTCCACCTGTGTATCTTATCAGTGTCCTTCATAAGTTTAAATAATTGTCTGGTATTACGTAGTGCTGACGTCTCCTCCATCTCTCTCGCTTTCGTCACTCACCACTGCTTATGGTCATTGTGAAGACTCCTAGTCAATTCACGTCACACTCGCTTTTGCTCGTCATTCAGGTCACAGCCAGTCAATTCGGATAGCTTTGTGGAGAGTCATTGACGTTTGCCAACCATAGTGTGTGTAGGTTACCACCGGCTGTCTTTAACGGTGTGTTTTATGCCGCTGACTGGATATCTCGCTTGGTTTCCTAAAGATGAGGATTGGCGTCACGTTCAGATAAATACTTAGTTATCTCCTCCCTAAGTGCTTATTTCACGTAATCATCTCCGACTCGAGTGGACATGGCACCTGTTTCATGTAACAACTAAAGCGGAGACATACACATGCCTGCACTAACTCGTGGTCAGAGTACAGACAGACACTCTAGAACGATTGGCAATTCTCCATGGATCCTCTCCAAAAATGGCTTGTTGCAATGTCATCATCCATCTGTGTCCATCATTGGTTTGGCGTAGCCAGAAGTCAAATGAGACAATGCCTCTCCTTATGCTTGAAATTAATGCTGGCGAGAAACAGGTAATTGTCAGCGCGTAATTGCAACAGACTCACGGTTGATGGATTGTTAATGTGGAATTCCGTATGTATCTTCAAAATGCTTTTGCGATCGGCTCAGTTTTTCTACTTGAGCGTCGTAGACGCCTGCCGTTATAACCGTAACCTCAATGGCAGCTGGTAGGATGTCATTGGTTGGAGCGGTTAATCCCAATGATCAGTCTTTTTTGTGAGAGGTGGGTGAGCTCCAATAGACGACTGATCAACATAGAAAGCACTACACACATAAAAAGTTCCCACCAGACATTTACCATCTCATGTCAAAGCAGGTGTGTTGTGTGCAACACTCTTCCTTGTCGTATTGTCTAAGACGGCTGCTAATAATGGTAGACATGAGGTGAGATCTGTTTCTTCGTAAGTGTTTTTAAAGCATCACTTATGGGTAAAATAAGCGCTGATGTTATGATTTCTCTGTTTGGTCCTTCAGCGTGAATCACTGCATTTTTTTACTAAGCTTAATGTTTCTTTTCCTTTACCTGTATTGTTAAATAAATATTCAGCGAATATAGTAGGACTAACTAATTCCTTCAAGACAAGTATAGTTGCTGTGTATATTATCATCTTCACTGACAGAGCAATGCATTGTATCCTGTGATAAAACCACGGTGAACAATTTTTTATTTGGATAGTAGATGAGTATAATCTAATGTCATCTTCAAGCAGCCATCCTTAAACCATATATTTCTTTGCTCCTTACAAGTGACAACTGTTCACCTTATTTATTCTCAAATATGTTGCGTCACTAACTGGGAAACAGTCTTCATGTTAGCTGCATCCGTAGGTATTGCCATATTTGAATTGTTGATTATTGTTCTCTTATTGTTTCCCTGGTCTGCTGGTAATAATAACAGTAACGGTATGATATTGCTTGCATTATCCTATCGTTGATTGAACCAAGTTGACCAGTGTTGGCATATGGGGTCCTCCTATTTAGAATCCTCTACATTACCTGTGATTTAAATTTAGATTCCAATGATGACTAGTGGCTGGCAGAGTGGAATCCAGGAGGCACGTTTCCTTCTGCTCGGGACTCGTCAGTTGGATACACATGTCTCTCAGCGAGCGATGTCCCAGGTTCAAGTCTCAGTGGGAACAACATCACTTACTGGGAGATAGGTATATCCAAATGACAAGTGAGTCCCAAGTAGGACGAAACATGCGTCTTGAATTTCACTGGTAACCACTATTATTATTATTATTAGTCCCTTGGGTTCCTAGTGGAACATAGGGCTTCAGTAGCACGCCTCCAGTGACCTCTGTTCTCTGAGATCTTTTGAACCTGGTTCCACGACAGCCCAGAAGCTCTCATTTCCTCCTCGCACGACCTCCTCCACCACTATTCATCATTAATATCAATAATAATGATAATAATCTTTACTGACTCACTTCTTATCCTACTATATAACCTCTTGTTTTGTAGGCTGGGGGTCGTGGTAAGCCATTTCAACACATATGTATTCACTGATTGTTCTTCCACCTAGCAGCTCGATCGAAACCTCAAAGAAAAAAGACTAGTCATTCACAATCAAGCGATGGGGAGACACACAAGTAGGTTTATTCTATTAATTCATTATTGTTTCATTCAAACTTAATGTTTTCCTGTATTTATTTATCATCACAACACTAGTGTGTGTGTGTGTGTTATACTTACTCTCTTTGACTTGCTTTTTGGTGAGTTTATCACTTTACGAATTCCCTGTACACGACTTAAAGAAATATATGCCATCGATCTCGAGTTTATAAAGCAATTTATCATTTTAAAATGGTTGTCTTTTGATTGAATGTATTCATTTAAAGTCTCATTGTAACATCTCTAATCATAGAAATGTACTCTTGACGAACTTAGTGTCTAAGATTCTGGGTTCTATAGTCATTAGATGCCTGAGTGCAGCTCGGAAACAACAAGCCAGCGAAAACCATAGAGGCTTCAGACCTGGTTGTGGGTATATCGACCAAATATTCACACTCCGCAAGGTTATGGGATACAGGAACCCTTACCAACGTCCGACAATAGCTATATTTCTCGACCTAAAGGTGGCATCCGACTATGTCGATCGAGAAAGTCTTATGGCAGTGTCTTTCCCTGAAATGAGTACCGAGTAAGTACATTACCTTTAGAACACCTGTGGACTTGTTAGGGCCTATGGTGAGATATCGGGTAAGCTGTGTACTTCGAGTAGTTTCCGCCAAGGAGAGCCACTCCATCCTTATTCAGTTGTATCGTAGGTGTTCTTATGGAGGTCTCCCTCTCGTCGTCTGACCACATAGGAATTGATTTGATCACCGGAGAATTTTCCGTAGACCTAGAATACGCAGATGACATAGTCCTGTTAAATGAAGACGCTAACAAGATGCAAAGTCTTCTAAATACTTTGAGTGGCAATTTGAGTATGTTTGGGATGCATTTCTCACCACCGAAATGCAAATTGTTGCTCCAGGATTGGTCTTCAATGGTGCCTCGGCTAACAATAGAGAGTGTAGTAATTGGGTGTGTTGACCACTTTACTTATCTGGAAAGTTGGATCAACCCTGGTGACTCAGTGACCGATAAAATCTCTGCACAAATACGAAAAGCTCGCTTGGATTTCGTCATCTGTGGTGCCGCCATAATATCCTATCGTTAATTAAGGGTCGAGTGTACTGTGCTGCAGTCCTCCCTTTTATACTGTATGGCTGAAAAATGGCCATTAAAGGTAGAAGACAAGAGAAGGTTTTAGGTATTTGATCACGGTTGCCTTCGTAGCTTAGACCGCGTTTTGTGGTATCATCACATGAGGAACGCGGTGTAGAGTCTTATGGAGGAGAGGTAAGACAGTTGATGTGGTTGTGAAGTTTCATCGACTGAGGTGGCTAGCTGGCACACGTGCTACGTCTGTCCCGTTGCACAATGTTGACCGAAGTAAGTTCAGACTGGGGAAAGAATCGGGGCAACCAGACTAAAACATGGCATCAACGCATGAAGTCCTTAAGTGTTGGTTTCAGCCATGTAGGGCGACGCAGACTGTAGGTGATATGGGTCAGAACCGATGTCAGTCCCCACACACATTATCCTCATCTTAACCACTACATTCAGTCACATCATATTCTTATTCCCCCTTCCTCTCTCTTACTACTTTCTACTCCCTTCGATCGATTTTCGTCCCTTCATCTTTGATTTCGTTGCCTTGTTATTTGATGTACTGATATGAGATGTGGCAACTTGGACCATTACGCAGTAATGCCTGATCCTACATTGATCTTGATGATGGGATATGTGCTGGATTGTTTCATTCTTAATGCTCTTTTTTGATGATTTTCTACCAATTTCGACTATTTTATTCGTTATTTCTGTACTGTTCATTGCTTGAAGTCAGAGATACTTAAAGTTATGTCCATCAGTACGTTTATAACGGAGTTAACTAGGAACGGCGACAGTGGGTATCCCTCGTGGCAACCACTAGTTGTCATTAGCTGTGCAAGGATCTATTGAAGTTTTAATATAAAGTCTAGATGTAACTTTCTAGTCGGATCGCAATTATTTTCAGTCAGTAACGAATCCCAATAAACGCTAATGATAAATTCGCATCGCATTTCTAGTAAATAAAATCAAGCATTTACAATATGGCTATTTTGAGTAGTACTTCACTCAAACTACATGAACGAAAGAAAGACCGAAATGCATCCAACCACCCTGTGCACATTCTTGCAATAAGCAACAAACCACGTGCATATTGTGCGACGGTTATCCATACTATCTGTCTGCTCAAATTTCGGTAGGTGAGGCGGCGTCCGAACCTGTGATGCACCGGTTGAATGTCAACTACCCAAATCGATGAGTCCTCATTCCTCGTCAAATCGGACAACAAGTTTCACTGGCTTAGCATTTAGCATCTTGTGTCACGAATGTATGTTGTGTTTGTGAGACATATACAGGATCTGAAGGTGTTTCTTCACCTGACCTCACCTATAACCAGCCAACAAGCCTAGTATACAAATGCACGTTACAAGTACTTGGGGTCTCCTTCGTTACTCCTCATAGTTAATTCTTAGGGCTGGATAATAAACGACTATCACCTGTGTGTACTCCTTGGCTGAATGATGATACAGTAAATTTTCAAGGAGATTAGTGACACACGCTGTTATCTTTTTGTGAACACTGTCTACAATGCAGATGACTAACTGGTGGTTTTCACCGAAAACTGTGTTGCCTCCAGTCAGATGTTGAAGGGTGGTCGTTGTAAGCGACTAAGCCAGTCAGAAAGACATTTGGTTAGTAATTTCAGAGTTCTAGCTGATTGGATCAACTATGGTCATCAATTCTTACAACTGTGCTCAGATATTCAGTCATTTCTAACCAACACTAGTTTTACACAATGGCGTTATCCTACTTAGCAGTTACCGATATTAATTCAGTCGTGGGCTTAAATAGAGGACATCGCTGTTGGTTATCACTACAGAGAGTCAGTAGAAGATTGCCACTTCTTCTAAAGTGCCTATCTAAACAAAAATCACAAGTTTCCCTTTAGCTAAATTGGATGTCGAAAGAATGCACCTGGAGGAGTTTACAAACTGTTCAAAAACTTGATGAAATCTTGTGATGTCTTTAATCGGAAAGGTATTTAGCAAATAAATCAACCTAGTAAAATACTTTATACTCAGACACTTTTGGTTGCGTCAGAGTCTGTAGTTATGTATATCATGATTTGTCTGCTTCCTAACATTTGCCACAGACGTACTCATTAAGATTTTCGTCCTTCTCATCTTCCTTTACAGAGATTAATGTCGCCGAAGTTACTCCGACCAAATTAGATCACTCGGATAACATAGTACGTCAGTTATGTAGAAGTCAGGCGTAGAGTTTTAGGCAGAAGAGGAGAGTCATTTGATAAAGTTTGGAACCTTCATCAACTCAGATAACTGGGACATGTTTTACGGGTGTCTAATGACCGTGTAGCCCGCCGAATAATGTTAGCTGAAGTGCATTTAGTAGAGAAAAATGTTAGAATTGACCAGATTGTCAAGTCTTTCACTGTTAGTTCGAAGCGTTTAATGAGAAGTGGACATCTCGGTTGAGGTTTGCATGACAACCGAAATATCTGGTTGCAGATAATAAGTGGTATTGGACCTTAGTAGTGTAAATGCATCTACCTGTTACCTTCATCTTGTCCGACATATACCTGCTGCCCTGACGTGGTGGTCGGGTTTGCATATCAAAATGACACAACTAGCTATCCTATCATACCAAAAGATCTGTTGTGCAGTGCCGAGACAAAAAGCAGTTGCGGTTATGGTGTAAATAGAGCTGTGGCTCATCGGTTAGGGAGTTGACTTTTAGCCACGGGTTTGAACACCGCCTTACCTACCGAGCTTTGGGCGGCCAGGTAGTATCATTCGTTCTCACGCAATAGCTGTGGCTCGCTGCTTACTGTATGGATGTGAACAAGGTTGTTGAATGTGATTAGTTTTTTGTTCCTTGTGGTGTAAATTGCTCCTCTAGGTGATGGAGGTCCAGGGGCGAAATCGTACTGCTGGTTTGTCGAGTATGTAAGAACAGTAAGTTGTTTCTCGTGGATGACCAGCAGTACCATCCTGACGCTGCCTTCCTTTTGGGAAGCGACATGAGATTGGAAAAGATAAACCCCCAAAATGTCACACTCACTCCTACCCTATGGTCTTCCTCTGTCGGTGGTTTGGGATTTCTCTATCTGACGTTAAACAAACTAAACCTTGAAACAACAACCTTCAACAGGCTGTGCGACAGGCCTCAAGCAGATTTCCTATGGACTCTGTAGTCCTATAAACCTCCTTCAGTAATCGTCTTTTAACAATTACCTGTTTCTCGCCAGCATTAATTTCAAGCATAAGGAGAGGCATTGTCTCATTTGACTTCTGGCTACGCCAAACCAATGATGGACACAGATGGATGATGACATTGCAACAAGCCATTTTTGGAGAGGATCCATGGAGAATTGCCAATCGTTCTAGAGTGTCTGTCTGTACTCTGACCACGAGTTAGTGCAGGCATGTGTATGTCTCCGCTTTAGTTGTTACATGAAACAGGTGCCATGTCCACTCGAGTCGGAGATGATTACGTGAAATAAGCACTTAGGGAGGAGATAACTAAGTATTTATCTGAACGTGACGCCAATCCTCATCTTTAGGAAACCAAGCGAGATATCCAGTCAGCGGCATAAAACACACCGTTAAAGACAGCCGGTGGTAACCTACACACACTATGGTTGGCAAACGTCAATGACTCTCCACAAAGCTATCCGAATTGACTGGCTGTGACCTGAATGACGAGCAAAAGCGAGTGTGACGTGAATTGACTAGGAGTCTTCACAATGACCATAAGCAGTGGTGAGTGACGAAAGCGAGAGAGATGGAGGAGACGTCAGCACTACGTAATACCAGACAATTATTTAAACTTATGAAGGACACTGATAAGATACACAGGTGGACAAGGTCAGCATAGGACCCGGGAATACTGCATAGTGGAGTTAACCTGTCATGGTATATTAGCATATGAAGAGAGAAAGCACTAAGATGAAAGATAAAGAAATAGGGAAGAATGTAATCGAAGTGGTAGAAAGTAGTGATAACAAGGAGGAATAAGAAAATATTGCATTCAATATGACATTTCAGGTGAAGATAGTGATGTGTATACATGTGCTTCACTGACATCGATTCTCAGGCGCGTCCTTAGATTCTCGAACCACTGGCTTCTATTATCACACCGACACCAACTGGGAAGTCCACATTTCCCCCACATGGCTCGCACCGATAGTCGGAGATTTCATGCAGTGATACCATCTTTTAGTCTGTCCACTTCTAACTGCTTTTCAGCCTGAACCATTTTCAGCTAGCATTGTGTAACGACGCAGATGGTGTCTAGGCATTCGTAAAACAAGTTGCAACCGTCTGAGCCAATGAAGGTTCACAACCTCATCAACTAACTTTCGTCTCCTCCCTACAACTTTATACGTAGCTTCAGCGTAACTGGTGTGGTGACACAAAGAAAAATGACCTATGTTATGAGGGAAACGGTGACTAAGCACGTGAAGCCTCTTCATCCTGGCTAGAAGAAGACGATGGTATGTGAGACGATCATCGAAAAGGATAGTACCCTGATAACGTTTCAGGATAGACGGCTAGAATGTTGGGCAGAGCGGGGCACTGATGTGAAGTTCAAGTGACACACGGAAACGCTACATTCACACCCGACATCCAGTTCGAACTAGAATAGGAAGTAAATGTCGGTCCTCCAGCTCCTCAATGTTGAAGAGGCTGTGTTTTTAAAGCTGAAATGATGCAAAGCAACAGGATTTGATGGGTTGCCACCCACCGTATTCAGGAGGGAGGCAGGAAATTACTGATTGGAGTAATAGAGATACCAAGTGGTGTATGGGAATCAATTAGAGAGATTACTTTTTATAGTGTTGTGTCGTCTGAGGTGAATGGTTCAATCGTGAAGGCATTGTTTTCGCCCCCGATAATATCGGCACAAATTTGAGAAGGTAGTAATGTCAGACTGATCTACTTCACTGATGATTCAAGTGAACAAGAAGTGTGAGAAGTCTTTTTGTGACAGCCGTGAGGAGACGTTTGACCGATATGATATCACGTCGAAGATCCATGAGTACATAGTTAGTTATCGAACACCGATACCTAAGTGGAGCTGGATAACAGCAAATGAAGAGAACCAGGTATGTTTTAGACCTCCAACAGGTTCTATAATACAGGCATACACCTACAGGCAGTCGAGTCTTCCCATATTTCTTGACCTGAATGTGGCATTTGATCCTGGAGACCATGATGTGTTGTGGCAGTGTTTGACTGTGAAAGGGCTACGGAGCAATTATGTAAAGCTAATCAAAGCTCTCTCCACTAGAGCTTTCACATCTTTGTTGTGGCATATGGAAAGTTTTCTTATGAATTGAATTTATAGTGTTCTCCGGGCTTTCTTGCTGTTTCCTTATGTTTGTTATAGGTGTAATAATAGACATAACATTGGGCATTTTTGACTTTACAGGGATTTATGTAATCCCTGGAGGTCACCTGGTTCACTTGGCGTCTGCAGACGGCGTAGTTGTGATAGATGAGGACGCTGACAAAATCCAGAGTCTTCTGAACACATTGGGGGGAGTTATTTCAGTATGTTTGGCGTGCGTTTCCCACTTATGAAATCTAAATCATTCTTTAGGACTCATTGTCAACTTAGGACGAGATATTTCTGCGTAATGGTTCAAATCTACACACCGTATTTCAGCACAACTAGCAACAATGTTAAGAGAGGAAAAAAGAAAGAAACATCGGTTAGAAGCAGTAGAAATTGGTAAAAGAGGGAAGGAAGTAATAAGAGAATACTAAATTCTGTATGACGTTTATAATGAAGATAAAGTTTTGATGCATCTGCTCCACCGACACCGACAGCTATCACCTAGAGTCTCCAACCATGAAACTGGTTTATAGATAGTGAAGTGGTTGAATGCGTGTACTGGTTCACTTTCTTGGAGATTTACACCAGCTCGAACGGGCTGGTCACTGGCGAAATCTCACCCCGGGTACAGAATGCCTGTCTTGAGTTTTCCAATTTGTGTCATCTATCGCGCTGACCAGCGAGATATACAACCACTTTTTAATGCAAGCGTATACTGTGCTGCATTTCCTTATTTCCTATTACACGGCTGTCAGGGGTAGTTGTTGAGGGTGGAAGATATGATGAGACGACTGGTTTTCAAATGCGAATGTCTTCGTAGCACCCCTGGTGTATGCGGAATTTGCGTATGAGCACTGTACAGGTTAGGTGAACGGTAATAGCCAAGTTGGTCGATGAGGTTGTACTCTCTCACCAATTCAGTTGGCTCAGCATATGCTACACACGTCAAGGTTCTCGCCTATCTCGGTGTGAAATGTTAGCCGAAGTAAGATTAGATTGGAAGAGGGTTGAGGGTGGCCAGACCAAGACGTGGCACACCAGTCCATGTAGTCTCTGACCACTAGTCTGAGCTGTGTAGGGAGGTGTAAACCGCCTGGTTAACGTTATCACAATAATAGGAATCAATAGTTGGAGACTTGTGGCTATGATTAAAAATCGGTCACAATGGCATAGATGAGTTCACCTTTTGACATCTAATTCTGTAACATTCTCATTAACCTTGATTTTTAAATTGTTCCTCCTACCAAACACCTTTGTTTACTGTGATATTAATCTTTTTCGATGCATTTGTTTCTTGTAAGCTACTGTGAAGTGTAGTAACTTGAACCAATACACTCCTACGATAGGTTTCTCTTTTGTTTCTACTTGGATCTCATTTCATCCTTTTTTCTCACGATTTCTTGTATTTCTTGACTACTTAGATGTGTTGATATAAGTAGCAGTATTACTGATTCCCACTCTTTTCGTAGCTGATTGGTGACTTTGTTTTAGTAATGTTGTAATGAGATTCAGAATTATCTGAACAGGGTCAGCGGTTTTATCAAAATGTCTGGGTTGCAGAATGGTATTTCAAGGCTGCTTTCCGTATGGGATACGCCATATTATGGTGAAGTGTGAATTAATTAAGCACATTAGCTACTGCTGTGAATACTTTTTAAGGTTTGGGTATATCATTCAAAGGAACACAACAATCAATTTCCAGCAACTTATACTTTTACTGTTCAGTATTTGTTGTTGCGGAACTATGACTTATTGGACTAAGCACTTGATTGTGACCTGATGAGTCGCTGACTCGATCCTATCTCTTCCTCTGCTGAGGTTTGGGCAGACAAGTTGTATCATTAGCCCGCGCACACAGTGCGTGAGAGTGACTCACTGCCTTCTGCGTGTTGCGCAGAATTTCAATTTGATAATAGTCACATTTATAGCACATCAACTATTTATCCATTCCTTCAAAAGACGTTTTCACTTTTCAGCATATGTTGTATTGAGCACATTCATATCTTAAGAAAGTGGTCTCAACACATTAATAACCTGTTTATTCTTGAACACGTATGAACTACTCGTATGTGTATATATCTATCTTGTAGAAAACAGGGAGTCAGTGGAGGGGAAGATGTAATTGCTCAAGATGTTGATCCTAACGCGAATGGTTGGCATCGTACAAATCGTTTTGCTTGGCATACACAATCTGGTCATTTCCCACACTATCCTCATCAACGGCATCCTAGTGGACAAATGGGCGATACAGAGATTGTAGCTACTGCTACTCAAGTTGATGGTCTACTTCGTCCGTCTAATGAAGTGAAACGAGGTGGAGGACATGGAGATTGGTCCCGTGGATGTGCTGGTTGGCGTCAGCGGTCTTATAGTGGTAGTGAGCAATCAGATGTCCGTGTAAGTTAACGTAGCTTGCTTCTAGCACATTTACTTTTGGAGACTACTGACGTTTAATATCCTTAATGTTTTTCCTGACTTGGATTTTCTACTGAAAGCAGTTACTGTTTTATTGTAAATTGCTACGCTTTGATAGAAATCCGAAAGTGAAATCATACTGCTTACTGAATGGGTGCGAGAACTGTAAAGTGTTTCCCGCTGATGACCAGTATCACCATCCTGATGCTGAAAGCGAAGCCTTCAGATCTGGATTTTTCGCAGATGGTTTCAGTGCACAGGTGGGTAGACTAAGTCAGGCAAAAAGACACTTAGGTGGCCCTGTCGAAATCCCAACCGAACTAACAAGATAATCCCGCTCGCCTGCTACAAATGTGCTAAAACAATTATTTATTTCTAGCCAGCACGAACTTCAGGCATAAAGATAGGCATCATCTGATATGGCTTCCATCGACTTCAACTTAATGGTGGACATAGACCATATTGTTAACAACTATTGCTGGAGAGGGCCAGTGTAGGACTGCCGCTCCCTCTAGAGAACCTGTTTGAATTGCGAACACGCATTGGCTTTAGTACGTGTACATTTGCACCTGAATGGCTGTAGAAAAGCTACAGCAAGAAGATCGTTTCGAGCGCTTCCACCAGTATTGAGAATACTAAGGTTGCTTTCAATGAGGAACTGGTTAAACAGTTATCGGAACAGAACAACCATCACTTATCCAAAAGAAGCCTGTCACCATCTGCAGTCTGCTGTGAAAACATCGGTAAAGAGCGTAACTGACTTTCAGGAAAAGGTTAGAAATAGTCAGCGGATTTCAGCTGCTTCTGAATTTATTGCTGCACACAAACGCGGTGCATGCAGGCTCCGAGCAGAATGAGGAGCGGAAGCAACTGGAATTTAGGCTGACAAATAGTCAACTCAATGACCGCGAGCAGTAGTCGATAGGGTAATCTAATGCGGTGAAAAAGCAGTGGCGACAAGTTTCAGTTGCCTGCTATTCAAACCGATCTACCAAGACAACTGAGACAATGAGTGGGACACGTCGGAGAACAGTTCAGTTAACTGAAATGTTTGTTGGTATATAGTAGTCAGATACGATCCCTCCCGACGTCTCAATCACTTATAGTCCCAGTCTTCAGGAAATATGAGAAGTAGCAATCTTGTGATAACCACAGGGGAATCAGCCTGACGAGCAGAGTGTCTACGATTCTAGGCTCTATAATCGTAAAACTTATCAGGTGTCAGGTGAGTTGTGTCTATCAGGTAGTGTCCGTCAAGTATGTTCACTTTCTCCATTCTTAAATTTGTCGCAGACTTATTTCGATAACGCTATTAGAAGACGAAGATTATCTGAAAAATGTGTGTGATGTATTTGCGCAATACATTTCGAACAATCTGATCCCCCATACATTTACTTGTCTCAAGTCAATATATATATATGAAAATGAAAGTGGGTGAACACATACCTAAATGGTTTGAAAAGCAATTTAACACACAAACACTAATATTAATGCAGGTAACAGACATCCATCGTTATCTGTAGCAAAACATCTTCATTAAAATGAACCACAAGGTTAATACGAAAACAGCCTTCAAGATATTATACAGGAACAATCAAGGGCGCATACTGAAGTTTGTCGAAGCTTTAGCCGTTCGTGAATTTGAGCCCCAGCTGTGCGTACAAAAACAATTTATTGTCTCACTTAATTTACCTTGTTAAACCTTGATAATCTGATTATATTACCATGTTTAATATTTCTGACCTTTCATTTTAATATATAAATTGATTTAAGACAAGTAAATGTATGGGGGATCGAATTCTTCGAAATGTATTGCGCAAATACATCACCTACACTTTTCAGATAATCTTCGTCTTCTTTCTAATAGCGTTATCGAAATTTATTAAAGGGGCTACTTGTTTCAAATTTCTGAAAAGTAAACTTATTTATGGCTATCCTTCTAGTCATCTAACTTCACAGGGATTTATCTTATCACACATGAACCCTTAGTTAAGATAGTCCTGCTAGGTGAATATTATGAAGAGATGCTTAGTCTTCTGAGATAGTTGCTCCAGAGTTAGTCTTCACTGATGGTTTGTTTAGAGCACTGTAGAGTGGAATGGTTGAGCGCGTTTACCACCATGTACCTAGGGAGTCGGATCAATCTTGGTAAATTATTGATTGATGAAATATCTGCATTTACTCAAAAGGTTGCTTGGTTTTCGCCAACTTACACCATCTATGGCGCCACCGTGATACCTGATTGTCTAGTAAAGGTCGAGTGTATTGTGATGCAGTTCGCTTTGTTCTAGTGTATGACTGAAACGTGACGATTAAAGGTATTAGACCACCGTTGCCTTCTTAACATAGGCTGCCTGTCGTGATGTTATCGTTTTAGTAATCTACTAGTCAAGTGTAGAGTTTTAGGGAGAAAAGGAAAGTCATTTGATGAGATTATGAGCTTTCATCGACTGAGGTGGTTGGGACATGTCTTGTTACACATGCCTAGTTACCGTCTGTTTCGTCACACATTAAAGTAGGTTTCGGCTGGCAAAAGGTTAGAGGCGACCGCGTCCTGGTCGAGATCCGCCTGACAACAGTAAGCAGTTGTGGGAGACTACGGAGTGGTGATACAGCTGAGAATCAATATCAGTGGCGTAGATGCATTCATACATGGTTTTTATCCTACTGAATTTCTGCATTCTTTCATTCCATGTTACTATCTTCTCACCACTTTCTACCACTTGTGACTTTCTTCTGTATGTCCTTTGTCTTTGCATCCTACTGCCTTCTGGGTTGATATACCGTCGTTGAGTAACTGTCTTCAAGTCTGATGTGGTTGACCCTACCGGCTGCGCTATATCGTCCACCCAGTGATTCGATGGTAACTTGTTGTCCGAGGAATCTGAAGGCCTAGGTTCGATCCCTGGCGGAGGTTATGGGTGTGGACTGCTGAGGAGTCACTCCCATACTCTGATAGAACTGTTGCTATCCAATGCTTCCAGATGTTCCCAATGTTTCCTCCAACTGACATCATTCCATGATGAATATCAACCGGAAACCAACAAATAAATCCCCACAAGTCTCTAAACTCTATTCGGTATTGTGTCAGTCTGTGTGTACACAATGAGCCATCAAATACTTACAAAGTGTAGTTCGTTGTGGATGCTCAGATAAAGCGTGGACAAGTAGGCTGGTATTCTGACGGTGTGGTGTACATATAGTCATAGAAATCTAGTTATCAGTTCAGGCAGATGATGAGAACTTATATCAGTTAAGATTTTTCTCTATTGTATTTAGGCTAGATTTTTATGCATTTTAAATTACCTACCATCCCTTGATTTCTTTTTTGGTGGTTCTATCCTTGTTACCCTCGAACACTTATGGGGTGTGTTAGAGCTTGTGGTGAGATGTCCAGGGAGTTATGCTCATCGAGTGGTGTCCGTCAAGGGTGTCCACTCCCTCCATTCTTATTCAATTTTATCATAGGTATTCTTATGGAGATCTCCCTGTCGTCACCAGGTTATGCAGATGTTGACCTAATCACAGGAGAATTTTCGTTAGACGTAGAATATGTATATGACGTAGTCCTGTTACATGAAGACACTGACAAGATACAGAGTCTTCTGAACACTTTGAGTGTCAATTTGAGAATGTTTGGCATGTGGTTCTCACCACCCAAATGCAAATTGTTACTCCAGGATTGGTCTTAAACGGTGCCACGACTAACAATAGAGAGTGAAGTGGTTGAGAGTGTCGACCACTTCACTTACCTGAAAAGTGAAGTTGGATCAGCCCTGGTGGGTCAGTTGCCGGTGAAATCTCTGCACGGATACAAAAGGCTTGATTGGCTTTTGCCATTTTACGCCACCTATGACGCCGCCGTGTTATCCGTTTGTCTATTAAGGGTCACGTATACTGCACAGCAGCAGTCCGGTCTATTCTACTTTATGGCTGTGAAACATGGCCATTGAATGTGAAAGATATGAGGTTTGCAGTGTTTGATCACCATTGCCTTCGTAGTGTGTAGACCGTATTCCGTGGTGTTACCACGTGAGTAATGTAGACGTAAGGTTTAGAGTTCTAAGGAGTAGAGGTAAATCAGTTGACTAGGTTATGAACCTTCATCGACTGAGATGGTTAGGACACATATTGCGTATGCGTAGTCGCCGTCTACCTCGTCACACAATGTTGTCTGAAGTAGGTTCAGGCTGGAAAAAGGCTTGAGGTGGTCAGACTAAAGCATGGCACCAATGTATGAAGTTTTTGACTGTTGGTTTAAGCCATGTAGGGCGATGCAGACCAGCCGGTTGGGGTCCTCGGGGCAAAAGGAACCAGTGGTTGGAGACTGTAGCTGATATGGGTCAGAACCGATGTCAGCGGTGCAGATGTATACACACATTATCCTCATCTTAATGCTGTACCGAATCTCACCATTTCCTCATTCTCACTTTCTCTCTCATAGTACTTTTTATTTCTTTTGACTGAATTTCCTTGTCTTCATCTTGCACCTCACTGCCTTTTTACTTGATGTACTGATATGAGGTGTGGCAACTCGGACCGTTACTCAGTAGTGCCTGGTCCTATGTTGATTTGGATGGATGGATGGATCCTTGTTACCGGTATTCGAAGTGCCCCAAGTAGTCTTATTATAGAGGTGTAGCACATTGGTCTAAGCGATATGTCAGGTGATTCAAATCCCGCCCTCCTCACACCTCCTCGGGTCTGGAGGGAAGTATCCTTAGCCCTCACAGTGTAGGCATCTGATTCATAGTTAATTGCACAAGCGTGCATTTAGTCACTGAGTGTATTTAGATTTCTACTTCAAGTTTATTATTTGAATGGTGATTTCGTATGAAAAGTCAGTTGCAGCCTGAACAGCTCGATGGTAACGTCTACGATGGGTTCAAATTCCAAGGGAGGACATCAGTTTCGTCCAGATCAATGATATCCCTTGCTGTAACGAGTGCCAACAAGCGTGAAACGTAGGTCACGTGGTGTTTTGCTGCAGATTACCTTCATTCCCAACTAACACAGGTTATTTCACATTTCGATGAAAGGATAAATTAGTAACTGAATACAAATATATTCCTCAATGGAGTATTTTATTATTTTGTACCATGGTGTACTGATTTCATGCCATATCCATTGTTGATGTTGGCTAAATGACCTTCGAATATCACTGGGATATAGTAGATGGAGACTGACTATACATATGGTTTCATCTATTATGTAACCGCATCTGTTTCACCCAACTTAATTAAGCTAAGTGACTGTCTGCACAAGAAAGTGATGGAGCTGTAGCTCAACCAATTAGTGGTGGGTTCGAACCCTGCTGAATGTGAAGAGGTTTGGGCAACCAGCTGGTAGTTGTATCATTAACCTTCACAATAGGTGTACGGCTCATTCTCTTCTGCATGAATGTGCACAAGACTGCCAGGTGGATTTCGACTTTTCTACACGTGAAGGTTTGTTTGTCACCCGTTTCGCTTATGCTTTATTATCCTTATTATTATTATTATTACTATTATTATTATTATTACTGACACCAATATTACTATTGTTATTTTCATTATTACCATCATTGTAATTTGATGATTATTATTCTCATCGCTATCATATTTATTCTTATTAATAACCGTATTGTTATTGTTATTATTATTACTTTCACATGGTTGATATCATGATAGAGTTAAATGTCCTTCCTTCTGTACCAATCAACACTGCTCAAATCTTTTAGGTTTCTGTACAATTATCAATAGGATGATGCCTGTAAACCGGCTTCTGTCATGTTAAATTCATAATCTGAGACGAAAAACATTTATTTTATTATTATTATTACCCTTACTGTCATTATTATTATTACTATTTATATCTGAAGTTGTTATTCATTGTAGACTGACATCAGTTGGAGGAACAAAGGAAACCTGAGGGCATTGGATAGCCGTTTCGTCGTAGTATGGGACTCTTCAGCAATGCACACCGACGACCCCGCCAGGGATCGAATACGCGAACTTCAGGTTCCGTGGCCAGCACGTTACCATTGAGCCACTGGGTCAGAATCCAATGGTAGATATTTCCAACTTCTGTTAGCTCATGATATAGCGCAACCGCCACCCAATGTCATGGTTGAGTAACGTGCTGGTCATGGAACCTGAAGGTCGCGGGTTCGATCCCTGGCGGGGTCGTGGGTGCGCACTGCCGAAGTGTCCCTTACTAGGACGAAACAGCTGTCTAGTGCTCCCAGGTCTCCTTTGTTCTTCCAACTGATGTCAGTCTACAATGAATAACAACTTGAAATATTTCCAAATCACCATAACTCCCTCAAAAAAGAATTTAGATCAAAAAAAAATTAATTTTTTCATAATGAAATTTAGCAAAATCATTCCAATCACCGAGGTCGTGGAACTGGACATTTATCTAGTGAGTTTGATGCAGGCGGTAGTGGACGTGGACGCAGTCGAGGCCGAGGTTCAGGACGTCAAATACCACAAACACATCGTGAATCTCCTAATCAAGCTCAAAATTCAAAAATCAATACACATCGACCTATCAGTTGCTTAGCTGATATTGATGTAACAATATCAGCTGTAAGTTATTATCTTCTGGTTGTTGTTTTACATTTACTTATTATTCAAATTAAATTTAGTGTTGTTATCCACCTCAGTAGGGTTAGTCTTCTTAGCTAGGAAAACATAAGTGTATCTCTATGCCTAGTTGGTTTGAGTAGCTAGGTAGGGTAGTATCACAGTAGATGTGTAATTCATTGCCACTGCCTATTGCATCAGGGTAGACAAAGTTGTTAAGTAGCTTTTTATCCACTTCCTATGTCTGATTATCCTTACAAATAGCAGTTGAAACTAGGCTTATTGACCAAGGGTCGACGTGGTAGTCAAGCCTGTAAAACCACATTGTAACATCTTATTCAAATTATATGGTAGTCCTATTATATTGTATTAACCCTAGTATAGATGATGTTACACCTTATTCTTAGACAGTCGTCACCTCTGTAAAACAGTATAGTCTGATTAAAATATCTATGATTTGAAATCAGTGAAGTGGTGAAATGCGTCAACCACTTCACTTACCTGGAGAGTTACATCAGCCCAAACGGGCTGGGTGTTAACACTATCTCATCTTCGATACAGAAGTCCCGTTTCGGATTTGTCATCTGTGGCACCGACTGTCAAGATATCTGACTATCTATCAAAGGAGAAGAGTATACTGCTCTGCACTCCGTTCTGTCCTGATATACAACTGTGAAACATGTTTGTTAAAAGCAGATAAGAAGTGATTATAGGATCTCCACTACAGATGTCCTCTTCGCATTGTTCGGGTTTTGTGGAATCACCGTGTGAGCAATTTTGAGGTCAGGTGAAGGGTACTAGAGAAAACAGACAAGTCGACTAATGAGATTGTGAACGTTCATTGTCTGAGATGACTTGGATATGTACTTCGCATACCGAGCCACCACCATCCACTTAGATGTGGAATGCTAAGGGAAGTTGGATTCAATTGAAAGAGTGTTTAGAGTGGCTAGACCAAGACGTGTGACAAGTCGATGAAGTCTCTAACTGTTCGTCTGAGCTGCGTGGAGAAATACAAACTATCTGTCTGGTTGTGGGGTTCTCAAGACGAAAAAAATACGTGGTAAAGGACTCTTGGTGACATGTCTGAAAGTCGGTGACAATGTTAGATAAATATTCAGTCAACATGTAATTGGTGTTGGTAGTGAAGATTTGTTCAAGTGGAAGCAATAGAAAAAGGACCACTGAATAAAGAGAGACGAAATGATCACAAATGATGAGATAAGGGACAAGTGCTGTCAAACAAGTGTAAAATGGTGATAATAATGATGATAATAAAGATTAAGTGAAATGGACGTGACATATTAACTAGACAAAGTGAATAGTTAAGGCCAACGTAGAGAAAGTGATTTTATAAAACGTTCTTGAATTTAAAGTTTCGATTTTTGTTCAGATATAGCTAGCTAATGCTTCAGCTATACATAAATGGTAGTGGAAACTCCCAAGTTTTTAGTAGTTTAATTCATTTTTGTAAATTACTTTAAACGATGGAAATCTCAAGGAGCTGTATGATCTAGTTCTGTTATATGTTCACATCTTGATCGATAGCTGATACTCTGACGTAGTGGTTAGGCTTGTATATCAAAATGACGTAACGAACCACATTGGCTGATGAACCGCTTGTTCCCTAGAGGTCCGACTATCCCAGAAAAATCTGTCGGATAGTGGTAAGACGAAAGCAGTTCTCGTTATAGTGTAAATTACTACACTATGATGGGGGTCTGAGGATGAAATGCTACCGCTGTTAGCTGGAAGGGATGTGACAGCAGTGAAGTGTTTCCCTTGGATGACACGCAGTACCATGCTGATACTGCCATTTCCCATAGGAAGGGAGGGCGATAGAAAAGGTTAGCCCTAAAGTTACACCCCCTCCTAGTCGCGGCATGCCGATGCATGCTAAGCATCTCAGAGGGAACTTACAGAATCTCATACAAACGAACCGGCAGAGGTAATCGTCTGTTGCAATTTGTTCGGACGATCACTTGTTTTTGGTTGGCACTTAACTTTAGGCATAGGGAAAGACTCTGTCTTACATGGCGTTCGCCGATATCAAACCGACGATGGATGCAGGTTGATCACATCGCTATAAGCCATCATTGAAGAGAATCCGTGAAGGATTGTCGCTTTTTCTAGAGTATCAGTTTGGACTCCGATCACACGCTAGTATGGGCTCGTGTATGTCTCCACTATTTACAGGAAACAGGCTATAGTAAAGCCTGTCTATGGTCGATTGAAAGATTAGAACGTCAAGTCCAAATTTAGAAAAGAGATGGCTCCTTGAGATTTTCATCCTTTAATGAAGGTAATTTACATAGTTAAATTGAACTACTCCAAAAGTCTACGTTTCCACCACTTAGGCATTAGCTAAACATGAGCAAAAATCGAAATTTTATTGTTTTTGTATATTGTTGTTTAAATAACTATTCTACTAATTTCTCCTTATATTGTATAGCAGACAAAGAATACAAGAATTTACTCCAGATCATTTTGTATTGATCCTCCGCCTGGATTTGACATTCCTGTTCATGAAGCATCTGTTACCGCAAGACAATCATCTACAATAGCTTCACATACTGAGGAACATTGTACTACTGATGTGAATAACAGCGCTAATAAATCTGTATGTATTCAAAGCTCTTCTCTGTATAATGATGATGATGGTGATGATGTCACCACATCGCATTGCTTGGAAGCTTTGACAAAAAATCAGTCAACCCATTCACGATCTTGGTATTATGTGGATTTATCTAAGCATGTTCAAGGTCCATTTAGCGATCAACAGATGGCTGCTTGGTTTGCTACGGGATGCTTATCATTAGGCGTGAAAATACGTCGTGATTATGATGAATGCTTTCTAACGCTGGGTAAGCAATCTCCTACCTATCCACTTGTCTACTACTAACCGTATTTTATTCTAACCATTATAATTGACTTAAGCAACAGTGTGTAAGAAATGTGAGAAAAATACTTCAAGCATGCGTAATTTTCGACCCAACTCCTAGTTCCAGGCTGGACATCGTCTGTTCGGACATGATCATCTCTTAACCTGAGGAATCGATCATGTTACCGAACAGGAAACGACTTTTAGCAAGGCAACCACTGCTACCAGAGCATTATGTTAACGCTCCCTCTAAAGTGATCATTGTAATCTCAAAGCCCTCCCAACTGTCAGGCTTCAACGTATTTGCATTCGCCGGGTAATTGGTGCGTTGATTGCACTCACCTCCACCTGGGTAGATGTGCGTGGGACGCGTCTTCTCACTGGTTATCCAGAATCGTGCAGAAAGTGGTTAAGCATACTTCCCCGGAAGAGGCTCTTGCCAGGCTTTTGCTATAGCAAACGGTACCTGGCATGCTGCCCCACCTTTGCAAAGTTTACCACACCACCTTTCTTGGAACTGCTTCTACAAGAGTGACTACCGGAATTATGAAGCTGGATTCCCTTACCTTTTATTGGCGTACTGGATGGGATCCTGACGGTCATCTGCTGTATGGACCTCGTCGACCGCTATTATCACTAAGTCAACTATGACAGTGTATTTGTTAGAATCCGGCAGGGCCACTGAGAGGGTCATCGCCGTTGGGTAACTAGGCTTGAGCAGTATTCACCGGCTTTTGCTGGTCAGCTGTTCAAACAACCACACTAGTTAACCGCGTCGGGTAAAGCTTCTTGACGTTGACGCCCTGGCGAGGCACTTAACTAGCTACCCTAAGACAGTCATAAATATAGTTTGAAACCAACTTTAGGCGTTGCGTTACCTGATACCTTGCGACAATAGGGGAGTTTTTAAGTCATGATTAGATCATGTTCAGGTCATGATTTATGCATGTGCTGACATGAGAACCTGATTGGAGGAATTCGACCTCGTACAAGGAATCGGATTGGTTCATTTATGGCTTCACTTTCTGAGAGATTTGTAAGTGCACATATATCGTGTATTTACCTGATAAAAGTTTTCGCTGTTCTTGCAGTCACAGGCTGTCTTTGTCTTCTGATTTTACGCGGCCCAGTGAAGCGGAAGGTACTGAGGGAGGTCAGTCGTAAAGGTATTCGGTTGAGGTGTCTATTGAGTCTCAGTATCATTATACCCACGCACGCAACCCCACCACTCGGTCACACCACTACCCATTTGGACAACAGAAATTACATCTCTCTGCCTTTTCGACTGTTATGAATTGACACGTAGACGTCAGTTCTGCCTCTCCTATTCATTATGCTTTTTATCGTCTAGCTAACCTTTCTCTTGTGGAATCTTTTAAAGGTATCGCGTGCATGGAGGTTAGATTATCTTGGGCTTCAACCATTTCAAGAAGATGAATAGATTTATGGTATAGCTTAACTTTCAAATAGACACTTCGCTGGATTATAGGTGTGGAAATGCCATGGTACCAACTTACTCTTTGATTTATTTCTACTGTTTATGGTAACGCTTGTACTGCTGAATAACTTGAACAGACACAGCATTGTGTCACCGGTTTTTCACTTACCATATCGAATTTCTTTTATACAGACGAGTAACATCATTCACACTAGTGGTTAGTTCTAAGGAACTCAATGTTGACGATGTTACATCCGCACCCCCCAAAAAATGAACATTTTACTTATAATTAAATTTTACACATTTATCTTATTGGAAATTTGAATTATCTTTTTCGCACTTTTCCTCTCCTCCATACGTGTATCACTTAATCTTACGGCTTTTAAAAGCACTCCTATTTCCCTCCTATTGGTTGATCTCTATCACTGCAAGGTCGCGTACATGGTATATTAAACGCAAGAGAAGTTCTGTCGATGGATTGATACCTTCATATCTTGGTTGAAGTATTATTACTTGTCCCTTGAGTTCCTAGTGGAACATGGGGCTTCAGTAGCATGCCTCCATTCCACTCTGTTCTCTGCAGTCTTTTGAAACTGGCTCCACAACTGCCCAGAAGCTTTCATGTCTTCTTCGCGTGATCTCCTCCATTTCACCCTCAGACGCCCTACTCGTCGTTTCCTATCTGGATTCCACTCGTCGGCCTAGCGTGATCTCCCCAAACGGCCTTCTCAGTGTATGTCCAGTGCAATTCATCTCCACTTTCTTCTACATATTTATTGAGTGCTAGGTTCTTGGTTGCTTCGTCGTCAGCCAGCTAGAGTTCCTTGTTGCTTATTCTTTCTAACCATCTCATCTTCAGTACCGAGTGAGCGTAGGCAGCTGTTGATGAATATCTGTAGTTTCTTGGAAGTCCTTTTCGTCACGCACCAAGTTTCTCAACCATGTAGCAGCACTGACTTGACTGAATTGGTGTTCAAAATCTGGATGTTGCTCTTTCTGCCGACTGCAGTAGATCTCCATACTAATTTCAGATTAATGCAGGAAGGCCTGTCTTGCTCCCTTTCTGATCCTGGTTTTGACATCCTCATCTGTGCCTGTTCTGCCTGTAGTTGAAACGATGCTGCCTAGGTAGGTGAAAGAGGCTACTTCCTTTAAGTTTCTCCCGTTCATGGTGATTCGTGCTTGTTGTTGGTTGGGTATCTTCATCATCTCCGTCTTCTCTACGTTCACTTGAAGCCACGTCTTCGCTGCCCTGCCTCGCCTCTTCTCTCAACTTGCTAGTTTTTGCCTGTAGACCTTCAAGTTTGTGTGACACTAGACACAAGTCATCGGCGAAATCCAAATCTTCTAGGATCTTTTCCCCGGTCCAGCCAGCGTATCCCCCTCTTCTCACTCCTCACTGTTCTCTGCATGATCCAGTCGACCACAATCAGGAAGATGATTGGTGATAGTAGGCAGCATTGTCTTACTCCTGTCTTCACTTCACTTCAAAGTCGTCACTGTGCTTTCCATTGTGGATCACTTGGCGTGTGGCGGCTTCATATAGCTGTTGTATGATTTTGACAAAGGTTTGTGGAATTCGGTAGTGTTGAAGCAACTGCTTGTTAAATTACTTGACAGTCGACTCTCTCGAAGGCCTTTTCAAAGTCGATAAATTTGAGGTATGGATCCAGTTGACTGCCATTATATGCTCTGTTCAATGATAATGCGTAGCGTTGCAATTTCATCCTCACATGATTTATTTTTCTTGAAGCCAGCCAGCCAGCCTGTTCCGATCGTAATTTTGAATCTAGTGTATCTTTTAGCCTTTCCAGGATGATGTGACCTAATATTTTGCTTGAGGTGGACACTAGCATGATTCCGTGCCAGTTCTTGCAAAGCTTTAGGTTTCTCTTCTTTGGCAGTTTTAGCGTAGTATAGTCGTCCTTTAATATATAGTTTGATATCTCACCTATCAGCGCCACATGTGATGGAAGTTGACAAATGCCTACCTCATTATCATTATTTTAGTTTTTTTAATACTTGGAACACATGTTATACTTAACTGGAAATTTGAATTATCTTTTTCGCACCTTCCCTCTCCTTCACACGTGTATCACTTAATCTTACGGCTTTTAAAAGCACTGCTATTCCACTCCTATTGGTTGATCTCTATCACTGCAAGGTCGCGTACATGGTATATTAAACTCAAGAGAAGTTCTGTCGATGGATTGGTTGAAGTATTATTACTTGTCCCTTGGGTTCCTAGTGGAACATGGGGCTTCAGTAGCATGCCTCCATTCCACTCTGTTCTCTGGAGTCTTTTGAAACTGGCTCCACAACTGCCCAGAAGCTTTCATGTCTTCTTCACATGATCTCCTCCATTTCACCCTCAGACGCCCAACTCGTCGTTTCCCATCTGGATTCAACCCGAGAGGGACGAAACGTCTATCCTCATTTCCACTGCTATATATCGAAACTCAAGTATCATGTCGACCAGTGATTATGCATAAAATATCAATCACTTTATTTCCTGGTACCATATCGTTCTTATAGACCATAAGTCGTTTTTTTCCTTTAGATGATACTCACTATTTTTTTTTTGTATTCCATTATTGTTTGATACCCGTTTTATCTCTCTCTGAGTGCTTATTCCTTCAGTGTTTCATGTTATATTACTCAATTTTTTCTTTTTGTTTATCAAAGCTGATCATATGAATTTAGCTGGTCGTGTTCCATTCTGGATAGGCTACAATCAACCTCCTATTACACACGCAAATTTATTATCTACTTTGAACAGTTGTAATATGTTGAATAATAATCAATTGGTGTCACTTCCACAAATCGAAGGCAACCAGTTAGTTTCATCTACAAGTAAGGCAACTTATCCCACTCCAGTCATTGATGAGGAACAAACTCAAGACGGTACCATGGTATGCCATGCAATTTATGATATCAATATTTATCTGCTTAATTATTTATTGCCTAAGCTTACAGTATGCATTATAATTTTTATAGACGAGATATGAAAGGAATACAACACTGCTGATCTCGAATACTTCTCTTAAACAATACGATTTGCACTAAGCGTCTGGTTCGACCATCTTCAACATCGGTAAAAACATTAATGTAATCTAGTAACTAGCATATTTAGGTTTATACACTAGTCCATGAGTCACACTTACTGTTGATCTCCTCTGGCTCATTGGTTCAACTATTCATTTTCAAACTAAGTAGGTCATGGGTTCTAACTACGCTCTGCTTATCGAGGTTTGAGCAGTCAAGTAATATCAAAAACCCACCTGCAATAGACATCGCTCATGGCCTACACTCTGTGAAGACACTAGGACCAGATTTCTGTGTGGAATGTCATGATTATTTATAAATATGTGTTAACAAGTTCCCGGAAGCTATTACTTTCTTGGTAACTTAGTCTGCCATCTGCCTAGATGGAGGGCAGTTAGTAATGGAAAGAAGGAGACCGGCCATGTTTGACAGATACCACTGCATGCACACAACTCATGTAAAATCTCACCACAGTCTCTAACACGAGTGTTCGAGTAAAGAGCCTTCAACAAGCGCGATGCACTTACTTGGTTACCCCTCTCACAGGCAGACACTGCAATAACACCACCTCCCGATCGACCACACACAACGCCGCCTTCCGTAAGTGTCTCTCTTGAACCACCTACCGAAGGTTGAATATCTCGTCGATACACCCACGGTCAGATTTGAAGCCTACCTGGTTATCTCGGAATTGTTGTTACTTAGCTCCACTAAGACAATGTCTAATGAATGTAGAACCTAGACACTTTATTCATTAAGCTGATTACCTTGTGGTTATATCACAAGAGGATTTCTCGCCTTTCTTGAAGACTGGAAAAAAAACAATGGTGGAGACCAGTCAGATGGAATCGTATCTGACTCACACACACACAGTGGTTAATAATTCAGTCGATGAGGCACAGACACAACCCAGCACCACAATGTGTTGTTATGCATTAATTTACATATCCACCAGACATATTTAGTGATAAAGCTTACACTTTATTGACATTATACATTACAGTTTCAATAGACATGACGTGACATGACATGACGAGAAGAGAAGAGAATAAAACACTTTAATATTTCCAATATATCCTTCTCTTAAAAGAACTCTCCGTTAACAAATTCACATATGCTCACATGCTTTTCTCCTCTTAGTCACATAGCCTGTCTGCCTAGATAGAGTGGAGTTAGTCAGTCAGTCAGTCAGTTAGTTAGTTAGTTAGTTAGCTCAACTGTAATCTACCCACTTATCCAGTACCAACTATTTTTTTGTATTGTAAATTACCTTGACCCATAAAATTATTCATGAGAAAGTGAAGAGTACACAACACAGTTGAAAAGTCCATTTACTAGTGGTGGTTATCCAAGGTGGTGGTCAACATCATCTTCTTCACTGTCACTTCCTTCACTGTCTACGTGAACTCGTTCAGTTCATATCTCTCTCTCTCTCTCTCTCTCTCTCTCTCGTTCTCATTCTCGTCTCTCAAACACCGGTTTCATTGAAGAACACAGCAATCATATAATCGTGTTAGGTCAAAAAGGTAACAAAATTCCAGAGTGTTCTGAAGGGTGACAGATTTCTATCGATCATTTTGTAATGCACTCAGCAGGCAGGCAGACTCATGAACAGCAGCATAACGAGCTAGAAATTCTCCCATGTGGTTGCGGGTGATCGACAGGAAGCTATGGACCTCGATTTCATGCTTCTTAACTGACACTCGTCATTGTGTACCTTATCCAGTCCTATAGCAGGCAAGTCACAGCACGAATAGCTCAGTGGTAGTCTGGCTCACATCAGTCCCTTTGATGTTGCAGATACACCTGTCTGACGAGAGGCAACAAGCATGCGACCTAAGTGGGACAGGACTTCTTCCCGATTGCCTCCAACCACTTAACATCAGTAGTTGGGTGTGTTAACCAGTCGGGGGTGTTGCTGGCTGACGAAACCACAAAAATAAAATGCACATAGTTGTAGTTCACACAGTCGACTTTCTACTAAGATTCACAGAATGAGGCAACATCATCAATCCTGACACAAATTGGTATGTCTGATTTCCCAGTGAAAAGATTTCTACGTAGCTGTTTGGTGGGCCATATGTGTATTCTATGATCTCGTTGCCATACTTTACCATTTCGAAGCGCCATCCTTATAGCTGTCAGGTCCATGTACATAAACACCAGCAGCAATGTAAGTATCCAGACCAAAGGAGAAAAGTGGATTGTTTTCCAAAGCTCTAGCACCGAGTTCATATGTTTTACTGGCTGTATAAGATGTGTTATTACTTGAGTATTCCACACATTGTATTAATGCTTTAACTTTTACAGCATGATATACAGTACTTGCTATACTATTCTGTCAAATCATGATCATAGTTCACTTCAGTTTGTTGTATTCCTCAATATATCGATCTTCCTACTAAGACACCGTTTACTGAAATATGTGTTTGATGTAAAGCCTTCAGATTAAAGACTCCAGGTGGGTACACAAATTGACCTTTATTGCTCATTCCATTCGATTGTCAGTCATATAATACAAAGATGAATATAGTTATCGTGAGTGATATTTGCAATAAATGGGTGAAAGTGAACTAAGGTGAACAAGAGTTTGTTGAACTGTGAAATACACGATGAAGTGATGAATCATCTTGGGTGTGTAGTGAGCAGAGCGGATAGGAGTAAATTCTTACCTTCCAAATCTGAATGTGTTGAGAATATGTTAGGTGGAGGAGTGTAAGGTTGGATTGCGCTCTATCAACATCACCTTGAATATTCCTTAGAATGGTTTGCACTAGTCCCCTATGTTTGGTATCTACACGTGTAGGATATTCACAGTCTACCTGTCCTACTGATCAACAAAGGTGTTATAAAGAAGAAATTCGAAGCTTCTACACTATTCTTGTCTTTGTGAGAAGGCACAAACTTTTCCACGACTTGTACCTTTTCAAGTCAGGTTTCATGACATGAGTACAAGATAGGAGCTGTGATCGCAGAACGTTTGACAAGTGCCTCTGGTTAAAATGAATGTTGTCGATTGTTGTCGCCAATTTAGATCATCTTCGGTTTGATGTGACGTTTCTCCAATGCACCATATGGACGCAGTTCTGTTGTTCCACATGACAAAGCGAATTCCCCGACCTTGGACAAGTTTCAGTGCAGAGTGTATGCATACAACACATCATGATGGTTCACATCACTACCTTGCTGGAAATCCCCTCTACTCCAGAAATCGTGGCATTCAAAATGTACGGATATTATAACAACTTTCCGACGCTCCAGTATAATTCATTTCTAAGCGAAAATAGACATTCCAGTGTAACAAAAGTCATCGAGTCCTCATTAGTCAGGTTCACCTTCGCACACTTTGCATCCGTTGTTGATATATTGAAGTATCCAAGCCCTAAACACAACCTGAATTATTTTGATTGAGATTCTGAGTACATCAACTGGTATTCTTCATTGAAACATGTTGAAATCGTCTATATGGTACCAGCATTCTTTGCATAGATGATTGCATGCCAAAATATCTGCATCGTCCTCTGACTACTACTTTCAATCATGAGACTAGGCAAAGATTTCGGTTAATAAACGATCGTATGACGTTAGACGAAAAATTCCCGGACTATTCATCTGTATCCTTGACCAATTCACGAGTTACTTAGCTCAACGTGTAGATAAATATATGAAACCCTCTTCTACTTATCTTTCAGAATTGACAAAGTTCATCTGGTCGTGTCATCATCACATCTAATATCCTGCTATCATGTTGTAAGGATTCGAATCACTAGAATGGTCTTCCAATTTTGTCGAACAGTTAATATCAACAAGGGATCTGACGTTACTACCGAACGGTTCAAGTTGCCACACTTACCCATCTGTACAGCTATGTAGAGAATACCTAGAATAAAGATAGAAGGGTGACGGGTGAACCAGTAGAACGTAGTCGAAGAGAGCAAGAGGTGATGAGGGCAGTAACGTAAGATAAAATGTGGATGCGTGTATGCGGCTGAAAACGATTCCAGTCACATCGCCTACAGCGTCCGATCGGTGATTCCGACTGTCAAACGGAAGTCTACGTATCGCTAGACGGCTCAGACCAAAAGTCGTGGTCTTCGTAAAGTAATGCCATGCTTTACTTTCGCCACCTCGAACTGTTTTCCATCCTTAAGGTGTACCTTGTACTAGTGTTACGCAACCTGGTTAGGCGGTGACTAAGTATGCAAAACAAATGTCACAGTCATCTAAGTTGAAGGTTAACAAACTAGTCACTGGCGTACTTCTTGTTTAGATCGAATGCCTGTTTCTATACTACTGTCTTTTTGTTTTCACGCCACATAGCCAGTGCTGTAAGAGTAACGATGACCGAGTATCTGTGCTTAGACCTTTAATGGTCAGAGCTGACTACCTCTCAGTTCACTACTAGTAGTACTTTAGTCGGCTATTGGATATGCCACCTGCTCCATGAAAAGCTTAAGTTAGCAAAACCGGGAAGGTTGTAATTACGTGTAAATATTTTATCGGTCACCGGTGTGTCAGGGCTGATCCGACTTCCTAAAGAAGCGAAATGGTCAACACTCTTAGTCACTTCTCCTCTTTATTGATAAGCGATGCATTGGCTCAAACCAGTTGTAGAAAAACAATTTTCGTTTTTACACAGGGGAGAAATTCATCTCAAACATTCTCAAACCCCCACTCATAGTATCTAGACTAATCGGCATCTTCACGTAACTCAGCTGTATCCTCCGCGTACTCTAGGCCTAATAAACCGTCCTCTGTGATAGAGTCAATCATTGTATATTCAGACGAGGAGAGGAAGGCCTAGATTAGCCCGTTTATGGTGTTAAAGTTGGACAGAAAACCAGTTGACATTTTTCGTGTGTACTACTTGACGTAAAAGACTCATCCAATACAGTACCATGGTTTCTAAGACGTCCATCCGCGCTTAGATGGAAAGCTTTCAACGTTATGATGTACCACCTCGACACTTTTCAGTTATGGACATTGGTATGTGACCTGTTGGTTGATGGAGTTGAATGCCACTTTCAATTAGTATTATTGGTCTTCGGTAAGTGTATCTGTGTAAAGTGAACATCCGGTCGATACACATATGGCTAGGTTTGAAGTCTATCTACATTTCTCTGATTTGTTGTTCCTCAGGTCTATTCAGGCGTGTAGTGATTATAAAACCTAGAATCCTAGACACCATGCTCATCAGGTTGATTCCCCTATGGTTATCAAAAGAGGACTTCTCATCTTCCTGGGAGGCTGGGATGACTATTGATTAAGACCAGTCAAGAGAGATCGTATTTAACTCCCATGCACTATCTAACACTTCAGTTAACCTGACCAGTTAATCCTCAACCACCGTCCTTAAATGCCTCCGCTACTAATCCAACTCTTCCTGCTGTTGTTTGTCGTTCTACACTACTTTAAGATTTCTCAACTCTTGTAAGTGTTGAGAATCCTATCTCAAAGTTCCATTCAGGCTCCGACTGCATATTGGGCAACAGAATAGTAACTGTAAGCGAGTTGAACTATTCCTTGAAGTGTTCCGCCCATGGTTCTAGTCGTTTTCATTTATCCATTCCTAATATTGTTACTATTACCTCCCACTGTTACCTATCGCCGCTGCCTTTTCCATCTCCTTATCCTTCGTTACCTACCATTGTACACGGTCACCGCGTAGACTACTTGTTAGTCTCCATTTGAATTGCTTCCATTTTTCGTTGTGCTCGGAGGCTGTGGAGGGAAGGTGAATTCGATGCTTTTACACCTAGACCTGAAACTGTCTGTTACTAAGCTCTAATTACTTTACCTTTCAGTCAAACACCGCACAGACACGTGTCATCTAGCACCTAGTCGAGTGGTACGCTTTCTGCCTTGGGATTTAATACTTCAACTTACCTGAAAGATCACGATCTTTGGCTTTCTATTCTCCATAAACTCAAAGGGTATATTCTGCAGATTCATCATATTGGTTAAAGTTGAGTGAATAAACATATTTTGGCTTACATTCATGGCTCATAAGACGTCCTGTTTATTTCCATCGAAGCTTGTTGTCCCCGATTCATGACAGAGGGTATGGACACAGAAATCTCCAATTTGGTGCAACTTCAAATGCATATTTAGGAAACTTGAAATGTTATATCACGACCTCGATTTGTTATCAAGGTTTGACCTGTTGAAACAAATTAAAGATGATATAGGAATATTAAGAGAAAGATATGAAAAAAAGAATAAAAAGTGAAGATTTGGTAATAATTGGGAAAGATTTGAATGTTGCCGAAAATCAGTGGATGAATTGATAGTTCATGATTCTGTGACTACATCGTGGAAGTTTACTCCCTTTTAAGAGGTACCTGATAACCGAATGGAATTAGTTTGATATGAAGTCAGAACTTAGTGAAATTTAAGTGATTACATGTCAAAGATGGTCTGCTTTGAAAGTTTTAATCTGTAGAAGGTGATAAGCACATTCATAATTTTTGCAATCAAAGCGGGATTTGATTATTTTACGCTTTGGTTACTTTTAAACTGTCTATCAGAGCTCTGTAGCTACATTGTGTATATATATCTATACAGACAGTCAGATAAGTTTGTCTATAAACTGACTTTATCCGACGTTCAGGTCTTATTGATTCCAATTTAGTATACATCATGAACTGACATCAATTGGAGAGCAATAGACTGAACATCTGTGAGCACCGGAGAGGTATATCATCCTATTATGTCTCTCCTCAACAATGCTAAAGCATAACTTCGCTAAGGGGTCGAACTCAAGTCTTACACATCTAACTGTGTTCGTTTTTCTATTAACCACCTAGTGTTATGCGTATCTTATGATCCAATTATATTTGTAAGGCAAGTTAGCGATTGAACAATCGGTGTGTTGTTATCCAGCTGCAAACACCTTCAATCTTAAAATGTGTGTGTGTGTGTGTGTGTAAGAGTTTCATTTGTATTAGTAGTTAACATCATTCACTGACATTTCCTTTTCACTTAACCAACTTCAGGATGATACAGTTGCGAGTATTGTTGAAACTCAAAGACAATCAGTTCACCAGCCTTCATCTTCTGAAGACTTGTTAATACCTGAATCGTTTAAAATCCATGAAGAGTCAAAACCATCACTACCACCACCACCCATTGGGGTCAGTAATCCTTCTCCATTGAAGGGGATTGATAATAATTCCACCTTACGAGATGTATGTACAGAAGATGAAACTTTTGCCTTGTATACATCTAAAATGGAAGTGGAACGTATAGCTTTAGCAAATAAATTAGCTGAAATTAATAATACAACAGCTAGATTATTATCAAATCTTTGTTCAACACAATTAAATGCTAATTTAACTGAATCATTAATACAAACAACAAATGCTGTGCAAAATGAATTAGCACGTTTATTGAAACCATCCAAGTGTAAAAATGATGAACATGAAAGTTGTATTAATGACAATAAGTTGACTATTTTACCCAGTTATAAAAAATTAGATACACCTTGTATTCATCAAAAAGAAAATAATGAAATTATCTCATTGAATACAACAGAATATTCAAATGATTTTCAATCTTCACTCAACAATGATCAATTGCATAATGAATCTACTAATGATAATAATAATAATAATAATAATAATAATAATAATAATAATAATAATAATAAACTTCAATGTACACAACAACAGTCATCATTAATAATCGATGTGACATCGAATTCAATACTAGAAGGAGAAATGAAACAAAAGGAGTTGATTGAAAAAAACAATTCAACAAATTTCACCGATGAATCTGGAAATATAAAGAAAAATAAGCGTCGTAATAAAAAAGCTAATAAAAAGTAAGTATAATTCATGTATTGTTATTCATTGTAGACTGACATCAGTTGGAGGAACAAATGAAACCTGGGAGCACTGGACAGCTGTTTCGTCCAACTAGTATGGGACTCCTCAGCAGTGCGCACCCGCGACCTTCAGGTTCCGTGGCCAACGCGTTACCATTGAGCCATTGGGTCAGAATCCAATGCTCCATATTTCCAACTTTTGTTAGCTCACTGCTGAGGAGTCCCATACTAGTCGGACGAAACAGCTGTCCAGTGCTCCCAGGTGACCTTTGTTCCACCAACTGATGTCAGTCTACAATGAATAACAACTTGAAATAATTCCAAATCTCCACAATTCCCTCAAAATATAATTCATGTAATTTATTTATTTATTTATTTATTTATTCAATAATTCCTTCATTTTTTTTCATTGATTCATTCACTTATTCATTGATATATTTATTTGTTTATTTATTCACTTATTTTTCTTCTCATAGAATGAAGAAATGTTGTCCACTAATGTATTATTGTGAAGCGAATATCTTGATAAATTATAATGAAGTACAATTACTATATAATTATGCAATTATAATTATAATTATGTAATTATGTATGAATCACTGCATCATTTATGAAATTAATCTTACTTTACGTTTACAATCATATAAGTTAGTTATCACGTCGTTAATTGCATTGAATTAGTAATGAAATAGGTAGTTATTCTCTGGTCTAATCACTTGGATATCTCAAGTAGTAGAGTTTTTATTTATGTAATAATAAAACTGTGGCTTATTGACGTATTTACTTACAAAAATAGATAAAATCAACATAGAACCTTGCACACAGTTGGATCGGTTCATGTTGCTACACACTTAGCATTAGTATACAAAAAAAACAAGTGGATAGACAAAGTTGTATGAAGGAATAAGCAGTTTGACGATAAAGGTTAACGCAAATATTCAAGCCTTAAAAGACGTCTACACCATTGTGATAAACTTTCACCTATGTCACTAAGAGTTCTCAATCACTGATTCCTTTCGTCTCGGAGATCCTAGTCAGCCAGGTAGTTTTTATGCTCCAACACGACTCAGACCAACAGTCAAGAATCTTATGGACTGGTACCAGGTTTTGGTGTCAACCCTCTTCCAACCTAATCCAACTTCCCCTAGGTTGGCAAGTTGAGGTAGGCGGCGGTGACTCGCCATGCGCAGTCGACTAAGGTTCACAACCTCATCAGTCGACTTGCCTATCTTCCCTGGTACCCTTCGCTCGACTTATAAAATTTCTCACGCGGTGATTCCATCAAACGCAAGCAATAATACGAAGACGCCTATGATCGAAACTCTGTAACCACTTCATGTCTTATAATTTTAATGGTCATGTTTTACTGCCATATAAAGGAATAGAACGGAGTCAACTGTCAGACAATCGGTCCTTGGTTAAATCCCACTCCCCTTAGTTTAACCTAGGTAGTCAACTGGATAATATCATAACCACATTGCATAACGTGCTATTTATAGTCAAGTGTATAAAACCCATGATCTATTGTGTCGAAACATTAAGTGGAATTTAAATCTCATATACCATAGAGGAGGGTGTTGAAGGCGGAAATTCTTGAACTTGTAAATTCTTACTCGTTTTCATTGACTTCTATATCTATTCATACAACTGTCTTTTATATTGTTATTTACCGATATGCTTCTAATTCTCCCCTGTTTTATTGGATCGAGTTGTTCGACCTCCAATGGCATATAGGTTCCTATGCGAATGCCTCGATATTGCCTGAATGTTAATTATGATAACTTAGTTGATTGTGGCTAGCAGAGGAATCCATGACGTGCGTTTCGTCCTACTTAGGACTCGTCAGCTGGATGTACCTGCAACCCAGTGAGTGATGTTGTTCTCACTGACACTCGAACCTCGTGCCCATCCCATTCTAGATTTTCCTGCTAGCCACAACCAACCAAATTATCGTAATTAACATTCAGGCAATATCTAGGCATCCACATAGGAGCCCACATGCCAATAGAGGTCGAACAATTCAATCCAATAAAACAACGGAGAATGATAACTATGTCAATAAATAGTAATAACTACTAACCATTGTACAAGGAGTGGCTATCGTTCCTCCGTGGCATAGTGGATAACGCCTTGCGTGTGGAGCGATGGGTACGAGGTTCGAGTCTTGGTAGGAAAAGCATTACTCATTGTATTGCAGGTACATTCAGCTGACGAATCCTAAATAGGATGAAACTCGCGTCCTGGATTCCTCTGCTGGCCACAACCAACCAAATGCGTGTTTAATGTTCATACAAACTTTGTGTAGCTGATTTGCCTTTTAATAATCCACTTAGCGGCCTTATACATGTTTATTCGTGCTTTACATAGTAATGAGCTACACTTGTTTTGTATGAGGACTACTGATACTATCGTCCAGTCGCCGAAAGCTTAATAGGTGGAACGGTGTTCAAACTAGCTACCTCCAATACTATTATATTACTGATTGTGTTCTAAAATGTCTGCAACTAGTTACGAATGTTTCGCACACCGAATCACAGCATTCCATATGCTGTATCACTTCAACCGCAAGAATCAAACCTTATGATTGGTTGTTTTGATGAAAGATTTGCTGACAGTAAATACTACCATCATTTCAAAAAATCGATGCTGAACTGTTGAACAAATCTGTTAGAAGAAAAAAAAGACTCATTAGGCTATGAACTTTTCAACTGTGTTGTGTACTCTTCACTTTCTCATGAGTAATTTTATGGGTCAAGGTAATTTACAATACAAAACAATAGTCAATACTGGATAAGTGGGTAGATTACAGTTGAGCTAACTAACTAACTAACTAACTAACTAACTAACTAACTAACTAACTAACTAACTAACTAACTAACTAACTAACTAACTAACTAACTAACTAACTAACTAACTAACTAACTAACTAACTAACTAACTAACTAACTAACTAACTAACTAACTAACTAACTAACTAACTAACTAACTAACTAACTAACTAACTAACTAACTAACTAACTAACTAACTAACTAACTAACTAACTAACTAACTAACTAACTAACTAACTAACTAACTAACTAACTAACTAACTAACTAACTAACTAACTAACTAACTAACTAACTAACTAACTAACTAACTAACTAACTAACTAACTAACTAACTAACTAACTAACTAACTAACTAACTAACTAACTAACTAACTAACTAACTAACTAACTAACTAACTAACTAACTAACTAACTAACTAACTAACTAACTAACTAACTAACTAACTAACTAACTAACTAACTAACTGACTCACTAACTAACTAACTAACTGACTAACTCCACTCTATCTAGGCAGACAGGCTATGTGACTAAGAGGAGAAAAGCATGTGAGCATGTGTGAATTTGTTAACGGAGAGTTCTTTTAAGAGAAGGATATATTGGAAATATTAAAGTGTTTTATTCTCTTCTCGTCATGTCTTGTCATGTCATGTCTATTGAAACTGTAATGTATAATGTCAATAAAGTGTAAGCTTTACCACTAAATATGTCTGGTGGATATGTAAATTAATGCATAACAACACATTGTGGTGCTGGGTTGTGTCTGTGCCTCATCGACTGAATTATTAACCACTGTGTGTGTGTGTATGTGTGAGTCAGATACGATTCCATCTGACTGGTCTCCACCATTGTGTTTTCCAGTCTTCAAGAAAGGCAGGAAACCCTCTTGTGATATAACCGCAGGTAATCAGCTTAATGAATAAAGTGTCTAAGATTCTAGGTTCTACATTCATTAGACATTGTCTTAGTGGAGCTAAGTAACAACAATTCCGAGATAACCAGGTAGGCTTCAAATCTGGCCGTGGTGTATCGACGAGATATTCAACCTTCGGTAGATGGTGCAAGAGAGACACTTACGGAAGGCGGCGTTGTGTGTGGTCGATCGAGAGGTGGTGTTATTGCAGTGTCTGTCTGTGAGAGGGGTAACCAAATAAGTGCATCACTTTGTTGAAGGGTTTTTTTACTCAGACCCCGTAGATGTGTCAGAGTTTATGGTGAGATGTATAGATGGAGCGATATTCATCAAAATGCTGACTACCTCTGGATTTCTGTTCACGTTTGTCGCATGTGGTACTCATGTCTTTTTTCTTCTCGTTGTCTGACTTGACTTAGATTGATGTAGTCACGGAAGAATACCTGGTAGATCCAGAATACACATATGGATTTTCCTGTTAGGTGAAGACGCTGACAAGATGAAGAGTCTTCTGTGCACCTCGAGTGGCATTTTGAGAATGTCGCCAGTGCGTTTCTTGCAGCTTAAATGCAAATTGTTGGCCCACTAGTGGTCTTCAACAGTGCTTCGGCTAATCATGAGAAGTGGTAGTTCACCAGATCACTTACCTGGAATTCGCATCGAGCTTAGTTGGTCAGTGAACGACGAAATCTCTGCACAGATACAAAAGCTGCAATTGGCTTCTACCAGCTTGCACCATCTGTGTCGCTGTCGCCATATCTGATTGTTGATTATGGGTCAAATGCTCTGTGCTGTAGTTCGCCTTGATGTATTGTATAGCTGTGAAACATGGCCATTAAAGATAAAGGAAATTAGAGGGCTTGCAATGTTTGACCACCGTCGCCTTCATGGCATAGACCGTGTTCCTTGGTGTTACTATATCAGTAACTCAGAAGTCATGCAGAATTTCCGAGAGTAGCTAAGATAGCTGATGTGGTTTTGAACGTTCATTGATTGATATGACTTGGACATGTCTTACGCTTGCCTAGTCAGCATCAGCGTCATTGCGCAATGTTACCGGAAGTATGTGATGGCCAGAAAAAGACTCAGAACAGATAGAGAGACTGTTCGTTTGAGCCATGTCTGGAGATGCAGACCAGTCGGTCGGTTGCAGTCCATGTGACAATAGAAATCTGTGATTGGGGACTATAGGTGATATGCTTGAGAATCAGTGTCTTTCTTTATCAGTCATCTAACTGCTTGGTAACTTCATGGGCTTATATCTGAGGTGTGGCCATTAACAGTTATTCAGAAGTAGCTGGTCTTTTGTTCATATTGATTGAACATTTCGCATTTTTATTCTTATCATTTCTTCTATGCCTCTCGTTTTTCTCTGAACTCTGGCTCAATTGATTAATACTGTAGTCGACACACATTCAAATTCTAGCAGACAACTAGTTACAGTAACTTTAACTGTCAATCAGCATCCACTTTATTCACACATCCCTCTCTCTCTCTCTCTCTCTGTTTGTATCTCCTCTCTGATAGGGATAAGAAGAAATTAAACAAGGCCGTACGCTCGTACAGCTGAGTACACGAATTCGACTGTGGCTTACCTAGGACGCATGTTGTGTGAGGAAAAACGTGTTAGAACAGAACTCACTTATCAAGTCATTGTAAACAATAATTATTCAGTCCTTCTAACATTTTAGCTAACAATGGGGAGTTTTTCTCTTTATCAATATTCTTTACACTGCTTAAATTCTCATCAGAAGACAATTCGTAATTGTACTGGGTGATGATTGAAGGTGGGGTGGAAGTCTGGACCGCTGTCGGATTGGAACCAGCGACGACCAGGTTATTGACCCGGTGCTCTACCAACTGAGCTACGAGGTCTGACTGCTGACCAGAATTGTTATTCCACTTCTATCATCACCCAGTACAAATACTAGTTTGCCGAGCTACGGTTATCTTAGATAGTCAAATCATAAACAGTTCATAATGTTGTGTAAACGAGTATATAATATGTATATTTTGTTGTTGCAGTATGTCATGCAGAGAATTCCAAATTGTGCCGGAAATTGTTTGGAATAAATTGATTACCGTCATTATTATTCATTGTTAAAATTTACTGGTGATGGTGGTAATAACTGACAGTGGAATCCACCACACACACTTCGTCCTATGAATGACTGCTCAGCTTGACGCACCTGCAATCACACCTGTAATCATAGTAGTAATAGCATAACAGCCTCTGGTGCCCTCAGTGGCCTAGTTGATACTGTTCCGATGTATGGGATTCCATTCTGCGTGGGACCTATGTACATCCAACTAACTGCTGAACCCTAAACAGCATGAAACGCACGTCTTGGATTCCACCGGTGACCGTGTGTGTCACTCACTCAATTAGCTATCTGGTTTTTCCTACTATTTCCTTTTGTTATTTTCATCGACCTTTGGAAGTCGATCGTCGAATCTGATGTACTCGTAAAAGTTTAGTTTACAGTGATGTTAAACAGTTAGTCGGTAACAAATTGTTTGTTAAATATCAGTACTGAAGGCATAGTCATTGAACACTTGACACCTGATTTATGTGATCAACAAGCAGCAGCTGTAGTCAACCTCCATCTAATTCAATAAGCCTTCTTGACTGTTGTCTGATTAGATTATCCTTTGTCAACCTCATGTGTTTATTCCTTCACACTCTTATTTAGTTGCATCATCCTCTGTTCACATCGAATGTTTTTCGCTAACTGAGCTTAACTGACAGTATTTTGCTTATTTGTCCATCGTATGACCTGGTTACATACTCTTATAGTTCTAGGTCGCTGAATAATATGATTACCACTGTTAGTGTTATTTTATTCGATAAGCTCCCACCGGATTATTCAGGGGGTGATTATGGCCACTGTTACCAACCCTGGTTGAATATTGGCATTATGGTTGAGACCTTTCTATACGACAATTTCTATCCATCTTAGCCAACTGACGGATATTCTGTTTGCTTTCAATCAATTAAGGCATGTTGAATTTTGAGTACAACTACACATACTTTAATTTGGTGGGGAGTTTTGAGGAGGCGACAAGGTACCACTGTGTGTTTGTATCCTGCTGCCGAAGTTGTTTTTGCCTTTTTCCACATACATAAAGGGAAACTCGTGTATGTGATATGGCTGGGAATAGATGGCAATAGCATGGATGTCTCCACACATTTTCATGTTTATTGTCCTACGGAATTTCAGTATCCTCTTATCCCACCTTGGTGTCTTTTCACGACTTTCTACCACTTTCCAGTGCTTCCCTCCTTATTTCTGGAACTTTCACGTTTCAGCATTCTCGCTTGGTGTGTTGATATTAGGTATGAGAACTTGGATCGCTACACAGTACTGTTATGTCTTAGACTGATACTATCTGTGTGTTTGTTTGTCAATCAATACTAAGACGATCTTTCCGAGATCCACATACACCAGAAAGTTGTCAGTCAATGTGCTTGAATACACTGAACAGTGAGAAATTAAAAAATCTAACTAACTGTGAACCAGTCTAAATTTAGCTGATGCATGTTTATTTGAAGTAACACAGAATCTGTAGATAGATCAAAGAACTTCATTCTCAAACTGGAAGAAGTGAGTGATTCATCTTTGAAAAAAACACTTTAAGGTTTTACTGGTGATACAAGTATCGAGAATGTTTACTGGGATAAAGATTGAAATGAAGAAAATAAAGATGAACTCCATTGACAAGATTTTCACTTCTGAAGAAAATTTCCAGCCAGAGAGATTTCGTTTGTGTGAACAATTCGGCTGGATCTTTAAGATATAATTGTCTGGCAGCACCACTGTTGATCTCAGCCTAAAACGAGTAAAATGGTCATCTGGTGTCTAGGTCACTGTAATATGCCCAACTAAATCGATAGATCAGTGTGATTGGTTTCTTATTATTCTAGTTTTTCAGTAATAGTATACTTTGCTACACTTGTGTGTCATGTCGTAGCTGCGGGATGCCTTGTGGAGGAAATCCTGTTAACATTGTAGATGGGCAGTTGAAGGAAACTACTCGTCCGTGAGAATTGTAAGTGTGAAGTGATAAATTTTCAAATAATTCTGGTAATTTCATCCTCTTGTTAGTTGAACAAGTATTTTTCAGGTAATTCCATCCATGAGGGAACCAAAAGAGACCACTGCTTATTTGAGTAGTATATACACAACCTTTGGAAATATTACCTTTCATACTCAACCACTCTGATGATCACAAATCAACCTCAGTGTTCAACATCAACGTAATTTTCTCCGACAATGGTCACTTGAACCTACATTAATTATAGCATAAATATCGTCAGTCAGTTGATTAGGATTTCGGGTTGTACATAAACCGGGGAAATGAATATTGGATATTCCACCGCCAACAAAATGTGTTTGTCATCCCGGCTACCGCTAACATAGATGATAAGTAAAAACGGGGAGAGGATGGAAGTAACCTTAACTTCTAAGCTTCTGAATACACACAGGTCAATCAGTTCACTGTAGTTCCTAAAGACCTGATTTCCAGCTGCTGGTCTTTTCAAATTGATAAAAAGAAATTCGTGTATGATATCAGTGTAATTGTTTATCATGATTGAATTTTTATCATGAAAAGATAACCAGTGCATCCATTTAATGGGAAAAATCTGAAAATTATATTTATTCTGTTTTTTTAAACCAGATTAACAACAGAACAAGAACGTCAATTAGCCTGGGAAGCAGAATTCAATCGTCGTAAAGCTGCAGCATTAGAAAAAAAATTAACTCAAGAAGCAATGTTAAGGCGACAAGCTGAAGAAGAAGCGTTGGCCATAGCTGCTGAGAAGGCTTTAATTCTTCAAGAACAAGCTCATGTCTTATCTGAACAACGAAAACGTGAAGCTTTACGCCTAAAAGCTGATAAAGAATTGAGTAGTTTAAAGCTGCCTCAATCTGCACGATGGGCTGGTGGATGTATGAATGTTCATGATAAATCTGCTGTAGATTTACGATCTATTCAAGCTGCACAAGCTGCTGAAGAAGTAAGTATGAAGGTGTTTATGCATATCTGAAGCAGCCCTCTTCTGTATATTTGTGTGGGTAACCGAGTGTTTTTTTATTATGCGCAAAATTTGATTTGTCTACCTTCGGCACATCTGCTCCGCGAAAATCTGCGAGCTTCTACGTCAGTTATCGCTTAAGCTGAGAAAACTGATGAGCATTCACGGTATGTTTATACTTCATCGCATCTATTTTTTGTTATATTGTGTCATCCTGGCAGAAATGGTATACTAGATGCAACTCTCAGAACCGATGTCAGTGGCATAGATGTATCTCCAGATATGTTACCCTCAGCTTAACGACCCTATACCGAATCTCACCATTTTCTCATTCTTCCTCTTTCTCTCTTTCTCTTTGGTTACTTTATATTTCTTTTAGCTGAATTTTCTTCATCTTGCACCTTACTGCCCCTTTTTACTTGATGTACAGATATGAGGTGTGGCAACTCGGATCGTTACGCAGTAATGCCTGGTCCTATGTTAATGTTCAGTTGGTTTGAAGATATGTGCAGTGTACTTTTCTGAGTTACACCCGCAAAAGTTCATATTGTTGTGTAAAACGTTGAAGTATCAATCAGGTGAACCTTTTATAGTTCCTTTTTTACTCAACAGAAAACTGTACGAATGAAGGGATTGTGACTGATATCAGTAGTCCTAGGCCTAATCACATCGACCAGCAGTGCCGGTTAGCTAGAACAGGATGATCTACAGCACCAAACTATCATTTCATTCGTTTGGATTACTTCAGCTGAGAAATTCGAACTCTTCAAATCACGCGAATTCACCTATGGATTTGGTATTTCTCCATGCACTTAATTTGATACAGGTGAATTGTATTAATACTGAAACAAAACAGGAATCCGTCTCATACGTCCAGTTGGACATATAAATACGATTACTTCAGGACGATGACTGTGTGATTAAATATTTTCAGTCAATGTGAAATTATGCATTAAATTGATGAATTTCTGCATATTAGTTTACTTAAAGGAGGTGAGTGCTGATGGAAAATACATTCAGATGGATAGCAGTGAATAATCATAACTAATAATGACTTAAAAAAAAAGTAAGCGGATGCGTTACTTTTGTAAAAATGGGTGAATACTTGTTGCAATTCGTAGACGTTAACCTGATGAGTCTTACAAAGGTGCGAAAACAATAAATAACTGAACGATTTCATTCATTCTCTAAATTATACAATCGTAATGGCATACAAGCAAGTGCTTTTGTCCTGTTGTTTATAAGTTGTGGGACATTTTCTATATTCTATTTGTATAGTTTTTACTATACCGCCTATCAATGAATCATATTTTAAATCGTTTCTGCATATGCAAAGAGTTGGCTTCACTCACACTTCTCAACGGGAAAGTAAGTATGGTTATTTCAGGATCAGTGATACTCATAGACTATACTATAATGAGTTAGTTGAGGCCTCAGAATATATGCATACAGAATACAGAAAATACATATTTTCAGATAGAATGCTTTATAACACCTAGGGATAAATTTTAATCTCATCTGAAGTTTAGTTGAAATTCAGTAACATAGACAAATAATTTGAGAATAAATTGTTATCAGAAGACTTCAAGAACAAGTAAGAATTGATACTGAATAAAAAGTAGTAAACAGGATACATGAAGAAGAGAACAGTGTGATTCGAAACATTAAACATTAAGGTTATGAAATGAGATGAGGTTGAACAAGTCTCAGAAGAAAGAGAAGAGTTTGTTTGATTTATCAGCATTGAACAGATACTCAATTATTATTCCACTCTGTTTGTGAAAGTTTTCATTTCTTCACAGTTATGTGAGGATGGTGTTCTTGAACTACTTCACACAGAAATCGATCGATGCACACAGAAAACATTAGCTATCATGGCTAACTATTAATCACTAGAATGCATGAAGTCTCTGACTGTTGGTTTAAGCCATGTAGGGCGATGCAGACTAGGTGGTTGGGGTTGGCGGGACAAGAGGAACCAACAGTGGTTGGAGACTGTAGGTGATATGGTTTAGAACCGATGTCAATGGTGCAGATGTATCTCCCACACACATTCTCCTCATCTTAACGACACTATACCGAATCTCAGCATTTTCTCACTGCTGCTTTCTCTCTTTTCGTGCTTTATATTTCTTTTGACTGAATTTCCTTGTCTTCATCTTCCGCTTTACTGCCTTTTTATGTGATGTACTGATATGAGGTGTGGCGGCAACTTGGACGGTTACGCAGTAATGCCTGATACTAGGTTGATTTGAATGGATGGATGGATGTGTTCAGGCGTTTCCATAGCTTTATCATTACTTAATCTCTTTCTTAACATATTTAGTCATTCGATCCTTACAATAGTTGTTTTACAGTCCTCAGAATAACTTTCTGAGTTCAGAGAATTGTGTAAATCTATGAAGTTTCTTATTGTTGCTGTGAATCATATTGGTGTTCTTACAACAGCTTAAATCGTTGGTTATATACTGTGTAATAAAACTTATAATTGACGTCATTCATATAGATTCATCTTAATCTTCATTGTTCACCTTCCCTTATCTTTATTTCATCCCATAACTATTAAACTCTGAGACATGTGTTACACATGGCTAGTCACCGTCTACCCTGTCAAGCAATGTTGGCTAAAAAAGTTAATGGAACGCCCAATCAGACTAGAACATGACGTCACTCTATGAAGTCCTTAACTGTTTGGGAAATGTAGACTAGCCGGTTAGGATGCGTGTGACAACAGAAAACAGTGATTGCAGGCTCTCGGTGTTATGTTATTAGTGCAGATGTCTTCATCTTTGTTGCTATTACTGAAATCAGCATTCTTTCATTCCTCCTTTTCCTCTTTTACCACTTTCTGCTGCTATTGACCGGTTTTTCTTTCCTACTTCATCTTATTACTGTGTTATTTGATATACTGATATAAGGTGTAGTACGGAAAGTTGAACTATGGTATGCAGTACCATCAGGTGGTGTATTGATATCAACTGGTTGACTAACGAAATAACATTATTGATTGAGGGCAAGATGAGCATATTGATTAATGAGGTTGTGAACCTTCATCATCTGAAATAACTTGGAAGTGTACTGTGCATGCTGACTCATCGCCAGCTACCTCGATGTGCCACACTAGGAGAAGTCGGATTAGGTTGGAATAGAGAACCAAGACCTGACATCAGTTCCTAAAGTCCCTAACTGTTGGTTTCAGCAATGTTGGGATAGGATCAGCGAGACGAAAGGAATCAGTGGTTGAGGACTCTTGATGACATGGCTGGAAATCGGTGACAATGGCGCCAACGTATTCACTCTATGACGTCTAAAGCCGGAATATTTGCACTAACCGTTATCGTCAAATATTTTATTCTTTCATTCACCCTTGTCTACTTCAATTTCAATCCTTTTGTGTCCACCTGTTGTTTGTATGATTATTATTAGTAGTAGTAGTATTTTCCCGTGAGGTCCTAGTGGAACATAGGGCTTCAGTAGCATGTCTCCAGTTTACTCTGTTCCCTACAGTCTTCTTTTTAACCTGGCTCCACGGCACCCCCCAACCGTTCATTTTATCTTCACACCATCTCCTCCTCCATGTCACACTCGGACACCCAACTCGTCGTTTCGCATTTAGGTTCCACCCGATGACATGGTCTGGCGCGCGTTGTCTTCAAATGGTCTTCTCAGTGTCAGCCCCAGTCCAATCCATCTCCACTTTCTTCTGCATATTTGTCGGGCTATAGCTTTTTGGTTGGTTCGTTACCAGCCGAAGTGAGTTCGTCCTTGCTTATTCTTTCTGGCCATCTGATCTCCATCTTCAGTATTTAGTGAGCGAGGGCGGTGACTCTTGATGTATGTCTGCAGTTTGTTGGAAACGCTCTTCGTAACGCGCCAAGTCTCAACCATCACGTAGAAGCGTGCACTAACTTGACTGAATTATTTGAAAATCCGGATCTTGTTCTTTGTGCTGAGTGCAGTGCAGTACACTGCAGTAGATCTCCACACTGATTTCAGATTAATGAAGGGAAAGCCTGTCTTTTGGATCCTGGCCTTGAGATTGTCAAATGTGCCTGTGCCGCCTGTAGTTGAAATGCTGCCTCCTCGATAGGTAGGTGAAAGAGGCAACTTCCCTTAGGTTTCTTCCGTTGATTGTGATTGGTGCTTGTTGTTGTTGGTTGGGTATTTTCATCACCTCTGTCTTCTTTACATTCACCTGAAGGAAGTCCTGTGTTCGCTGCCATGCCTTGCCTCTTTTCCCAACTCGTTAGTTTTTTTCCCGTAGATCTTCGGGTTTGTGCGACATTAGACATAAATTATCATGGGCGAAATCGAAATGTTTTAGGGTGTTTTCATCGATCAAACAGTGAGCGTATACCCCTCTTCTCGCTCCGCACATTTGTTTCTTACATGATCCGGTGGAGTCAAGTCGAGCAAAATCAGGAACATAATCGGTGATAGTAGGCGGCAACTTTGTCTTTCTCCTGCTCTAAGTTGTGGAAAAATGTGAACCAGCTCAGTTGCATTCGAGGTTCTACGTTTATTCTTGGTTAAGGAGACTGTTTGATGACAACTCTCATCTTATGATTACAGAGCACTGAGTTCTATAATAAGCAGAAAGTGTTTGTAACAGTATGTTGTATATTTTTGGCTGAGCATACGTCTGACTACAGTTATACGCTCTAATTTTGTTTTTTACGTCATATTAAAATTGCAGAGAAAAATCAACATTTCAAGATGTCTGTTCACTAATGTTTTATTCTTTGTTATTCTCTATGTAGGCTGTTGTAATACCGATCGGTAAGACAGGACAGAAATCTAATCCTCATCTATCGAATACACAGTTATCACAATCGAATTCTCTTGACACTAATATTCCAGTGATATCTTCATCAACTGGTGTAATATCTATGTCTAGCCCAATCTCTGGTCATTCTGTTGTAAACCCGCTAAAAGTGACGATGAATACAAGTGATAAATCGTCGTCGACAATATCAGCAAGAAAACCATCATCTGCTACAGTAACTTCAATATGGGATCTACCTGTATGTGATAAACTTGACAGTACGAATGTTATGACTACAAAGAAAGCTAATCCTAAGAAGAAGAAGGTATGTCGTATCTATGGTTCATGAATTTTGATAATGAACAGTCTGTATGTGATCATACTATAAATTTGTGTCATGCAATGGATATGATATCCTAGACAAAATTGTCCTGTTGACGAGGAGTTATGTGTCTACAAACTCAGGTGTCTTTTTTCACACTGTTCGCATATTCTGTAATCCCCGTGTAGGCAGTGTTGAGGTTAAGCAAGTTAGTCGACAAAGCTGTGCATCTTCACTAATTAGGGTGGATTGTACTTGTCTGTTGCACATACTACCAAATCACCGCCTTCCTCGACGTGGAATGTTAGCCGAAGTTGGATTAGTTTGGAAGAAAGCTTAGAGTGATCTAACTAAAACATGACAGCTATCCATAAAGTCTTTGACTGTTGTTCTGAGTCGTGTAGGGATACATAAACTACCTGGTCGTGGTTGTTGAGACAAAAGGGAAAAGTGACTGAAGACTCTTTATGATACGATTGAAAATTGCTCACAATGACATGTCTTCTAAAATTTGAGTGCTTTGACTAACCTTCAATTCTGTCCAAAGTTCTTCAGTTGCTTTTGTCTTCCAGTGTACATCATTGACTGTTCAAGAAATTTTATCGTCTTTCTACCTTGAAACAAGTCCATAATACAAGACGTATAAATCAGTTACACGTTGGCATTCTCGGTTAAAGGTGTATGTGTGTGTGTGTGTGTCTACGCTGGTTGCTGTTATTACTGATATTTATATTACAGTTTACTCATTTTAATGAAATAAAATTACAAACTTTTTAATTAGGTCACGTCCAGTGACCAGTTTTATGTGTTTACGATATGACATCCTTGTTGTATATGTATGTTTAATCATCTTCTATTGTACGATATTGTACATAACACTGTCACATGTTTTAACTTGTTTCCTCTAGCTTATTTTATGTGACCTAACCTGATGAGATTCTCCAGTTAATTTTGTCTATCTGCCTGTCTGACAAATTGCCTATGAAAGAACTCAAGTAACTTGTAATTCTTCCCTGCGTTAAAATTGTGTTGACAACAAGAAATGAGATACATTTTCCATAAAAATGTGTCATCTCATAGGAGTATCCTAAAACATAGTAGAGATAACATTTCATCTTTGTGTGTACGTGTGTGTTTATGCTTCATATCTCGTCATCAAGAATCGTCAACTAATGATTCCAAGTCGATAGCTAATCTGCATCTCCTCACGCAGCTCAGACGAACAGTTAGAGACTTCATCGACTTGTGACACGTCTTGGTCTAGCCACTCTGAACACTCTTTCAATTGAATCCAACTTCTCCTAGCATTCCACATCAAAGTGGATGGTGGTGGCTCGGTATGCGAAGTACATATCCAAGTCATCTCAGACAATGAACGTTCACAATCTCATTAGTCGACTTGTCTGTTTTCTCTAGTACCCTTCACCTGACCTCAAAATTGCTCACACGGTGATTCCACAAAACCCGAACAATGCGAAGAGGACATCTGTAGTGGAGATCCTATAATCGCTTCTTATCTGCTTTTAACAAACATGTTTCACAGTTGTATATCAGGACAGAACGGAGTGCAGAGCAGTATACTCTTCTCCTTTGATAGATAGTCAGATATCTTGACAGTCGGTGCCACAGATGACAAATCCGAAACGGGACTTCTGTATCGAAGATGAGATAGTGTTAACACCCAGCCCGTTTGGGCTGATGTAACTCTCCAGGTAAGTGAAGTGGTTGACGCATTTCACCACTTCACTGATTTCAAATCATAGATATTTTAATCAGACTATACTGTTTTACAGAGGTGACGACTGTCTAAGAATAAGGTAACCCTTATAACCGTAATCCTAACCTTATCGAATGGTGCCATATCTTGGTCTTGCTACTATAAACCCTATTCTAGTTGTTTTCTAACTGTATTCCTTTAGTAATCTATCAACTTATTCATCCATGAACTGGAATTATTAAATGTTAGAAACTCTGTGGAAAGTCCTTCTCTACTTACCTTATTCAATTATTGCTTAGCCTAAACTAATGTAAATGTTTGTTATTGTTTACATTTTTTATATGTTTAAAAAAAAAATTCAGAAAAATCGTGAAGTTGCTTCATTCAACGCTAAAGAAGAACTTGCACATTGGTGTGAATCCCAATTATCTTCTATGCCATTGTCTGGTGTTGATTTGCCTACTCTAGTGGATTTGTTATGTGAACTTCAAGCTTCAGATGAGGTGAGTTAGTCAGTTTTGTTAATCACTTTTTCCAAAAAGTGGAGGCTGACATATCTCCCTCTCGTATACACAGATCTGGGTGTCAATGGAGTCTCCGTTGTAAACCCAACCAATTAAGTGATGTCATCAAGAGATGAGATTTACTAATATGAAGTCGAGCACCTGCGTCCTGGATTCCACTACTAGAAATATTCAGGTATCCATTCCAGAAGTGAACGCCGCATATTAGACACATCAGACATAAATCATCACCGGCGAAATCGAAATCGGTCAAACAGTGAGTGCATACCCCTCTTCTCGCTCCTCACAGTTGTTTGTTGCGTGATTCAGTGGAGTCGAGTCGAGCAAAATCAGGAAGATGATCGGTGATAGTAGGCGACAACCTTATCTTTCTCCTGTCTTCACTTCACTTCAAAGGCGTCACTGAGCTTTCCATTGTGAATTATTCGGTATGTGGCGTCCTCATATGGCTGTTGAATGAGTTTGATAAAGGTTTGTGGTACTCTGTGGGGTTGAATCGGCTGCCAGATTACTTCTCGGTTGACGCTGTTGAAGTCGTTTTCAAAATCGATGAAGTTAAGGTGAAGAGTTGACTGCTATTCCGTGTGTTACCATAGCTGTACACTTACATACATACATAGATCAGGATAAATTATCCACTGGACGCATGTTGTTGATTTTTCAGGGTTTTTTTTCAGTCTATTTCGAGTTAATCTATTCCTAATATACGTACCGTTAATTTTGTCTTATTTTCTCCATCTTCTTGTTTAGATTGTAGAATTTCTGGAAAGTTCCTTGGGTAGATCCAAGCGTGTATCAAAATTCTCCAGAGATTTTTTACAAAAGCGAGCGAATCTTTACAATACTGTCATTGAATAACAAAACAACTCGGGTTGTTTGTATCATTATTGTTATTATTCCTGTCTTGTAAGTTTCCATTGATAATGGAATTTTTTTCTCTCTTATACTCTGTTATATAATTGTACACACTTTTTTACAATTAAACAGACAGAATCTCAACGTACACACAGGTGTATCTGTTCAAGTTGCCACACTTCACAACCGTTTGAAAAAAGAAAGGGAGTGATATCGTAGTAGATAAAGTTGTGTGACAGAACAAACAATTTGAAGATAAAGATGAATGACTGATTTTCAACTATGTCACCAAGACACCTTAACGACTGATTCCTTTCCTCTCAGGGACTGTGACCAGGCAGTCTACATCTCTTTACACGATTCACATCAACAGTCAGGGAATTCATGACGACCGTGAACCTTCTTCACTGAAGATTAACATTCATTTCTTAAACGGTGAAAGGAACTCCCGTGAACCCTTCCCCCGTTCTACCAAGGTCTAGGCAACCAAGTTGTAGTATATCAATTCTTCATACAATAGATGTGCGCATGACTGATTCCCTTTATTTAGTGACATTGTGAACGTGATTGTCGAATGTTGTTTCACTTTATTATTCGAATCAATTTCGGCAATCGTGTGTCTACCATAAGCAGTCCTGACAGTGTAACGCTGCGTAGATACTCGCAGAAATGCAGAACTGTCTATTCTAAGTACACTTCATCATCATCATCAATATCAATATAGGATCAGGCATTACTGCGTAACCGTCCAAGTTGCCGCCACACCTCATATCAGTACATCACATAAAAAGGCAGTGAAGCGGAAGATGAAGACAAGGAAATTCAGTCAAAAGAAATATAAAGCACGAAAAGAGAGAAAGCAGCAGTGAGAAAATGGTGAGATTCGGTATAGCATCGTTAAGATGAGGAGAATGTGTGTGGGGGATACATCTGCACCATTGACATCGGTTCTAAACCATATCACCTACAGTCTCCAACCACTGTTGGTTCCTCTTGTCCCGCCAACCCCAACCACCTAGTCTGCATCACTCTACATGGCTTAAACCAACAGTCGGAGACTTCATACATTGGTGTCATGTTTTAGTCTGGCCACCACACACCCTTTCCAGCCTTAACCTGCTTCGGCCAACATTGTGTGATGGGGTAGTCGGTGACTGGGCATACGTAGTGCGTGTCCTAACCATCTCAGTCGATGAAGGTTCACAACCGTGTCAACAGACTTACTTCTCCCTAAAACTCTACACCTGACTTCTGCATTACTCACGTGGTGTGGTGACACCACGGAATACGTCTTATACTACGAAGGCAACGGTGGTCAAACACTTGAAGCCTTCTCGTATCTTCTACTTTCAATGGCCATGTTTCACAGCCATACAGTCGAACAGAGCGGGCTGCTGTGCAGTACACGCGATCCTTAATAGACAAACGGATATCACGGTGGCGCAACAGGTTGTGTAAGTTGACGAAAGCCAACCGAGCGTTTTGTATCCGTGCAGAGACCGCATCAGCCACTGAGCCACCTAGCGCTACGTGATAATCAGCGAAAATCTCAATGTTTGGTTGAGGGGGCATGTTAACAACCTTGTCCTTCACATATTAACCACTGCCAAGTAAAGATACTAGGAAACTGAATCATTTGAAACGATGGCATCACTACATTCCATGGGAAACAATAAAGAGAGATATATTCATTGAAGTTATTCCTCGAAATGAACAATTTTTACTTTTGTATTAGTCTAATGGGCAAATTATGAATAGTAAGTGTTACTGTATGTGACTACAAAATGGTCAGCATTAAAACTATTTGTAGATTGAATGTTTGTCATCATCGTCTTTTCTTTAAGCCTATACGTTAGTTTTTGGATTATAACACTGTACATGTTGAATAAAGTTTACGTGTTCAATTTATATTATCTACATTGAACAAAAATGAAATGTGCTCAGTCATCTTGTACATGTCCGTTGTTCGATGAAATTGTGAACCCTCTTGAATGGAGGTTTGGACATGTATTGCGAATGCCAAATCGCCGCCGCTTACGTCGATATGCCAGGTTGGGAGAAGTGGGATTAGGTTGGAAAAGGAGAGTTCACGGTGGCCAGACCAAAATGTTTCATCAGTCTCTGACTGTTGTTTTCAGTCATATGTGGAAATGTTTACTACCCGGTTGACTGTGATCCCCGAGACGATAGAAATCAGTGGTTGAGAATTAGTCACAATGGAGCAGATGTACTCACTCCTAGTCAATGCATATCCGTGCATTGGGCAGTGAGTTACACACCTATTGTGTGAAGATCCAAACGTCGGTTGGTGGAACAGGGTTTCGAACCTGTGACCCGACAATTGATAGTTATTTCCCTAAACTACTCAACGAAAGCTCTACTTTCATGATTGAGAATTGATACTATTGTATAGCAATCCAAGTTCGGGGTCATCGAAACCATCTAGAAATCAGTGGTTTAGAGAACCCTAGTTGAAATGACTGGAAACCTGTGACAATGTCACAAATGTATTCATCATTGTCTAAAGTTATAATGTTAGTTAGTGAGGGTTAACTTTGTCTGATGTCCTGGTGATACACACTACAGGACTGATCCCTAAAAATACCATCAGTAGTTTAGGAAGATAACTATCAGACAGTAAGTCACGTTTTCAACCCCTCTGCACTTACCTACGTGTATGATTCACTATCCGCTACATGAGATATGGACAAGATGACTGAGTGCGTTTCGTTTCGCTATGAAGTATAGCAACTTGAACTGATGCACTTGTGTGTTTATGTGTATGAGATTCTACATTGGTTTTCTCTGTCTCCTTGATATTAACGCATCAAAGTAGAAGACAACAAGATGGAGAAATGAAGAGAAAAGTACTCAAAAGTTGTAGAAAGTCAATATGAACAGATGAATAGTATATGAAGTAATAATGAAATGCTAAATGATGACCGAGTTGATGATGATGTGTGAAGATTTATTTTAAGGCATATCTTCTAAAGTCGTCAACTACTCATTTAGACTGTCGTACCGACTATAACCGGTTAGCTCACATTTCGCTTCACTGCTCAAGCTAACAGTTAGTGACTTCCAGTGTTTAACCACGTTCTCTCTTTTTTCTATCACCAATCTACCTAAGTCAACATTGTGCGATGCCATAGATAGTGATTAGACGTGCGTAGTAGACTTCTACGAAGGTGGTCTTTATTGAACATTTGATGCTTTAGTGTATCCTTCACTGCTTACGGCCATATTTCTTAGTCATATACTAGAAGGCAGCAAACTGCAGAACACTAGTACAATCACTTCTTCGTATGGAAAGGTGGATGTGTCGCTAATGCAATGCAGAGATTTTGTCAGTCACTGACGCATCAGAAGTGACTTAACTCTCCTGGTAATTCAAGTGGACAGTGCGCTGAATCAGATGTGGCGTCTACTCTTATTTATCCCAGAGGAACTATTCGCATTACACCAGATGTACTAAACAGGTTTTAGTGACATGGTCAATCCTGAGACAGATTTAAGAGAGTGGATTTGCTATTGGTAATCACTCGATGTACATAACTCACCTGGTAGCTCACCATAGGCTCTAAAACGTCCATGGACACTTGAATATGCAGCCTTCGAGATGGCGATCTACTTACCCTGAAACTATTTCACTCATACATACTGGCATTAAAGTTCTCAATCAATGGAGTTGAATACAGCCTTCGGGTTGAGAATCAGGGTTGACATCTGGCTTTGTGAAGTGAACATGCTTTCTGGAATTTGGTGGAGAGTGAAGATCTTAGTAGTTGCATTATCAGGCCTCAAAAGTGCTTGACATGCTCGAGGAGACATGGACACTGTTTTGGATCCCCATCACACACACACACCTCAGTCAATGTGACTGATCGGATCTGTATATTGATGTTGTCGATGCACGTTTCCGCCTATATGGGATTCACTTGTCAGTTGGATGCACCGTCAGCTCATTGAGTGACGGTATTCCCACTGGGAAACTTGGACCCTGAACTCATTGCCAAAGCGTCATTAACTAATGATAATTATTACTTGTTACTATTTTTATTAATTCCTCATGAAAGCAACTTGTTCATCTTTACTGTAATTTGTCTTATTTTCTTTTCATAGACATCTACTGGCGCACAGTTCATCAACTGCAATGTATTTACCAGTTTTGGTAGTACTCTCCTAAAAATCGACGTTTGGTATCCATGTTTCTATATTATCTTCTCTTTTACTTAACTTTTTCTTCTAGTTATCTTGTCCAATTACACTGTATGTGTATCCATTCTTTATTATTCTCTCCTCTTTTTTTTTTAATTTTTTTGTCTCTACTTTAATAACATCAGGAATTTTCACATTGTTGTTATTTTAGACCAATACGAGTGAGGCGGGGAGAGGGGGCAGGTGAATATCCCAGCAGAACATGGACAATTCTTTCTGTAGCTTACATGAACTTTACCCACCCCACCCCCAACCTTCTCTTCTGTATGTGTATAAAACTCGTTGATCGATCGTATATTCTCTCTTTTTTTTTATACGCAAGTGTAATATTTCAATAGTCAGTGGTCAGGAAGTGACTGATGAGTAGTAACCCTTAATCATTTTCTTAAAGTTTACATTTTTTTTTCTAAATTTTGGAGAGAAAAGAAAACAGTGATTATTATGGCAGCTGGATAGATTGGGTCGATGGAGGATTATCTAAGTAATGGTAACTTGAATTGGTTCGCATTGTCTTTGACTATAATCAGTAGCAATCGTATCAACACTAATGTGAACAACCTTTATGGTGCATTTCTTGTTACTTATATTATCAAAATGAGTAATGTTTTCTTTTGTTATCGGGATTGTTGATCACCTCGACGCACATCTATCTGTGTGTGTACATAGAAATGGAGGTATCATTAAATCTTCTCTCTCTTTTGTTGGCTTTTTTGTTTGTTTAATCTGCTTCTTTTTCTACCATCTATTGTACTATTACCAAATGACTGACAAATTCATTATATACAGGAAGATTATTTGGTTCAATACTTTGTGTTCTTTTGTTGAATGATGCTACCTTCGTCTTTAATGGTTTGTGGTTTGATGAAGTGATTATCATTAAGTCGATGACATGGCAGTAGATATCATATTGCGGGCATTAAGTTGACATCTAGCAATATTGTTCACAGGTGACGGAAGATTGGTCACCAATTTCATGTTGTGTGTGGCAGTCCTAAGGGGTGGATGATCATTAATTTGGAAGATTCTTCACCGTGATCGAACCAGTTGGCGGAATGATAAATCTCTTAGATTGGTTGGTGGCCACAATGAAAAATATTCGAGAGAATTCGTTCAACACTTAAGATTGACCGCTGTTCATTCATACAAGAGGTCATTCGTAGACTGAAATCTCTCTGTGGTGACATGGGATCCAATTTAAAGGGGCAGCAGTCTCTTCGGTATTACACACAGACGAGATCAACGTAGAACTTTGCACACAAATGCATTGCTACACTTCACGACAGTATACAAAGAATAGGTGGATAGAAAAACGAGTGATATCAAAGTAGACAGAGTTGTGTGTGAGGAAATAAGCAACTTGAAGATGAAGGTTAATGTAAATACTCAAGCTTTAGAAGAGTGAATGCATCTGCGCTGTTGTTCTTAACCATTGGTTCATACCAAGTTAGAAACCCTAGCGAGGCAGTCTACATCTCCCCCACATGACTCAGGTTAACAGTTACGGACTTCACCAATTGATTGACGCAATATATCGACCAAATATTCACACTGCGCCAGGTTCTGGGACATAGGCATGCTTACCGACGACCGATAATAGCAGTATTTCTTGACCTGAAGGTGGCATTCGACTCCATTGGTCGAGACGTCTTATGGCAATGTCTCTCACTGAAAGGCGTGCCTAGTAAGTACATCACCTCATTGAAAACTCTCTACTCGAACACTTATGGGCGTGTTAGAGCCTATGGTGAGATGTCCAGGGGGCTGAGCTCATCGAATGGTGTACGTCAAGGGTGCTCACTCTCTCCATTCTTATTCAATTTTATCAAAGATATTCTGATGGAGGTCTCCCTCTCATCACCTGATTACATAGAGGTTGACCTAATCGCATGGAAATTTTCGTTAGGCCTAGAATATCCTGATAGGTAAAGATTCAGAGATTGTTTTGGATGCGCTTTTCACCACCCAAATGCAAATTTTCGCTCCAGGATTACTCTTTAACGGTGCCACGGGTAACAAAAGATAGTGTAGTGATTGAGTGTGTCGACCACTTCACTTACCTGAAAAGTGAAGTTGGATCAGCTCTGGTGGCTACGTGGCCAATGTACTCCACAGTTCTCCGCGCTATACTACTGTATGGCTGTGAAACATGGCCATTGAAAGTAGAAGATACGAGAAGGCTTCAAGTGTTTGACCACCATTGCCTTCGTAGTATAAGACGTATTCCGTGGTGTCACCACACCACGTGAGTAATGCAGAAGTCAGGTGTAGAGTTTTAGGGAGAAGAAGTAAGTCTGTTGACACGGTTGTGAACCTTCATCGACTGAGATGGTTAGGACATGCACTACGTATGCCCAGTCACCGACTGCCCCATCACACAATGTTGGCCGAAGCAGGTTAAGGCTGGAAAGGGTGTTTGGCGGTCAGACTAAAACATGGCACCAATGTATGAAGTCTCTGACTGTTGGTTTAAGCCATGTAGAGTGAAGCAGACTAGGTGGTTGGGGTTGGCGGGACAAGAGGAACCAACAGTGGTTGGAGACTGTAGGTGATATGGGTTAGAACCGATGTCAATGGTGCAGATGTATCTCCCACACACATTCTCCTTATCTTAACGATGCTATACCGAATCTCAGCATTTTCTCACTGCTGCTTTCTCTCTTTTCGTGCTTTATATTTCTTTTGACTGAATTTCCTTGTCTTCATCTTCCGCTTTACTGCCTTTTTATGTGATGTACTGATATGAAGTGTGGCGGCAACTTGGACGGTTACTCAGTAATGCCTGATCCTATGTTGATATTGATTGATTGATCGATAATTTCACCAGTCTTTATTGCTGTTATTATTTGTGCTTTGGGTTCCCAGTGGAACACAGGGCCTCGGTAGGAAGTCACAATTTCACTCGCTTCTCTGCAATCTGGTTCCACGACTGCCCAGAAGCTTTCATTTCTTCGTCGCACTATCTCCTCCATTTCACCCTCATCTGGGATGCCTAACATCTGCAGCTTAAATTTGAAGGAGATACTCGTTCAATATTCTCATGGTCAGGATTTGAATTTATGGTGTGAATCCTTGACTATCTTCATACAGGGAATCATTAGAAATGTAATAAAAATCTAGAAAAAACCAATTTTTCGCTTTTTTATGGAGTATAATAATCAGCAACAAAAAGAAATATTTTTTAGAATTTTTAAAAAGAATATTATTTAGCATAAGTGTAAAAATAGCATAGAATGAACCCTTGATAAAATTATAAGTCAATGATTGGTTATACACATCTTTATTCTTCAAGATATGAGGTTGAAACCATGGAGATTTACATTATGAAATATAAACTCGTTATCTTTATCATTGTGATCGTTATTTTCATGTTAATGGCTACATTAACGTTCTTCATTATAACAAGATATGTGTATTTTACAAGTTTATTGCTTAAGTGATAAATCATACACATACACAGAATTCATTTATTATCTCTGTAGATAGATATACATATTCGTATTATGGATTAGTTAATTGTATAGACATTAATTCGAGTTGAGTTGAACTCTACTTAGAGTAATCTTGTACACATCTATTATTATTATGTTATACCTTCTCATCTCCTTTGCAATCTGGGCTGCCTTACTGGGTTCAAACATCGTGCGGACATTCCATGTCCCCACGTTTACTTTCGCTTTCATCGAGAGAAGACACATCGGCCAATTGGCTTCCCGAAGGTTTTCACCAACTGGCGTCATTTCGCCTCTCCGATTCCAGCGGGGAATAAGTTTGTTTTCATTTTTTATATTTTGTTTGTGCTTTGAAGTTTCTTTAGCGGTTAGATTTGTTTTACGGGGTAGGGTTGCTAGCCCTATGCCCAACCTTCCCTCTTTACCCGGGCTTAGGACCGGCTAGTAAACTAGTTAACCAGGCGAGGTTTGTACACATCTATACAGTAAATAATTAGCCACACACTTATTGTGTAAAGTCTGATCAAACTAACTAACTGTCTACATTATTACTGTTATTTTTCCCTTAGATTCCTAGTGGAACATACAGCTTCAGTAGCACGTCGCATTTACACTCTGTTCTCTGCAGTCTTTTGAACCTCGCTCCACAATTGCCCAGAAGCTCTCATTCCTTCCTCACATGATCTCCTGCTTGTTATTCTCAGCTGGGACACCCAACTCGTCGTTTCCCCTTTGAATTCCACTCGATGGTTTGGCCTGGCTCATGATGTCCCCAGTCGGCCTTAGTGTATTCCCAATCCATCTCTACTTTCTTCTTTGACATATTTGTTCCGTGATAGATTCTTAGCTGGTTCGTTCCCAGAAATCTTTGTTGCTTATTCTTATTATTCTGGTCATCTGATCTTCAGTATTGAGTGAGCGTAGGCGGCAGCTGTTGATGAATGTCTGTAGTTTGTTGGATGTGCTTTTTGGTGACACGCCAAGGTTCTGAACCATATAGCAGCACTGAGTTGACATTGATGTTGGAAATCCGGATGTTGTTCTTTGTGCTGAGTGCAGATCTGCACACCGTTTTCAGGTTAGTCACCAGGATGATGCGGCATAATATTTTGCTTGGGATGGACAGCAGCATGATTCGGCTCCATTTCTTGCAAAGACTTAGATCTCCCTTCTTTGGGAGTTTGACAAGGTACCACTTCTTCCAGTCAGAAGGTACCTTTCCTTCCTCGCTTCCAAACCTTCTGCAATAGTGGTATGAGCATGTCCACTGTTGTCCTTGCGCTTGTTTTCAGTGATTCTGGCGGAATTCCATTTGGTCCCTCTGCTTTCCCGAATTTCAGCAGTTTGATGGCATTCAGGACTTCTGCTTATGTCGGGGGGCCTGTATTCACTGGTAGTTCTATAGCTGAGCTGCAGCTGGTATTTCTGGACCAGTTGCATGTGGTGGTCGATTCAAGAGCTTTTTGAAGTGGTCATCCCATTGTTTCTTTTGTTTCTCCCCTTTGGTAACTAGCTTTAA